GATACGAGCTGTGTCAACTTTCGAAGCCAACAATCACGCCCAATGTGCCACACTTTGACAATGAAGGCTTTTCACGCTTGAAGCAATGAGCTTTTGTCTAGCTTTTTGTTGCCGCTAAATCAACGATGCTTGAAAAACGCATCGGTATAGAAGATATTCCAGCGCGAAAGTTGCTCGCGCTGATGTCGTGGACCTGTAGCAGGCTCGCATCGAATGATTGAACTCGATGATGTCAACTTTTACTCTCCTGACAAGTCATTCACAAGCCATTCTAATAGCACTCAAGGCTTGTATTTAGGGGTCGGACGCAGTTATGTGGCAAAGTCACTACTCAAATTTTGTACGAGGATCGGTGGCCACATCTTTAAAGTGCCGCTTACTGGTGGAAAAGGAGGCCATGAGACTCGGCGATCCAATACGGAGGTGGAAGATGATCTTAACAGGATCGGCGAACCGTTCCAACTGTCGTTAGACTAATGGGTATGGATCGACCTGGGACGGAGCGATCTGGAACGATTTACATGGAACAATCTGGGACAAGGATCTGGGACCGGGTGATGGGATATGACTCTGCGACGAAGGTGTAACTGTGGTAAAGTCACTAATCAAATGATGGGACGTGGATCGGTTTCCACCCAGTTAAGATGTCACCCACTGGCGGAAGAGGTACGCCTAGGACCAGGCGATGCAACGTGATTTGAGACGGGGCGTAGAAAGGGGTGATTCCAACGGTGCGATCTGGGACGAGGGACTGGATTGAACCGAACGACCACTCTAAAGGCTGATCAAAGGAAAGGATGTGGATGTTGAAGCAGAATCATTTGAGAAAAGTACGCCTGGGACCAGGCGATGCGACGTGGTTTGAGACGGGGCGTAGCAAGGGGTGATTTCCACGGTGCGATCTGGGATGAGGGACTGGATTGAACCGAACGACCACTCTGAAGGCTGATCAGAGGCAAGGATGTGGATGTTGAAGCAGAATCATTTTGATAAAGCATCGGAGTGCACACAATGAACGGAAGAACATTTATGGCCGGATTGTACTGTGTCGATCCTCAACAATCTCGAATTGGGCATCAGATCGGTCATGATCCCCACTGATTATGGATGTATCGTTGATGAGAATTTTGGATCATGACAAACATGCTTGTTGAAGGTCCATGAGTGATGTCTCAAAAGTTCAGATCGAAAGAGCCAGTGGAAGCCGGTTAAATTGACGTCGCAAAATGGATTTAGACGCCTTCGGCATTTGGGCACTATTTTGGGCTTTTGGGTACCAAAAATGGGTATTTGGTACCCCATTTGGGATTTGGTCCTCTTTTGGCGTTCAGGTACGGTATCGGGAATATTGGCGCTATCATTGGAGTACAGGGCACGAAATTTCGACACGTGGCAAGGGGGGCGATCCAGATTCAAGGCGATATCGGTTTGAAGAGTGACCTATAGTTAAGAATAGGCTTAAGGGTAGGTTGGATAGTAATTTGGTTGGTTAATAAACAGACTTGAACTCTACTTCTTCTGCTCACGACGCACGTAATCCTCCCCTCTTCTCCAGGCAAGATTGATTTGGCTTCCCCGGCGGGTTAAGGCACGCGTGTTACAGGGACACAGAAGACCGATCTTGGATTGTTGGCCAAGATCGAGAAGAGCGATCCCGGGATATCTGGCCCGGATCGATCAAGTACTCACACTCAACTCAACTGCTAGGGTAGCAGCACACAACGGAAAAGGAAAAGGATTTTGGACACAGGATCGCGAGACGGCTCAAGTGGTCAGAAGATCTGGACAAGGCGTTCAAGACAAGACCGAGCAGGATCGAAGCGATCCCCTGGACAGATCGGCACGTTTCATTATGGCGAAACAAGACACCGATCTACCCAAATTGCGCATTTCCGGCAAGATCGGCCGATCCCGAAACCAGATCGGACCGATCCCAAGACCAGATCGGACCGATCCCAAGGCAAGGTTGACGCAAGACTTTTATTTGCTGAGTGAAGATTTCCGCACAGCAAAGACCCCGATCTCGAGGACAAATCAAGATCGGTGCGATCCAAGATCGGGATCGCAGAACCCCGTTCGTGGTGTGAAGATTTCCGCACCGGAAGCGAACCCTCAACCCAACCTCTCAGCGAGATCGACATCTCCCAAGGCCGTTACGAAGAGCTCAAGCCAGCCCAACCGACGGGTACACAAGGTGAGCACAAGTCATACAACAAGGCACGGATCGGAGTACCCCCTCCGTGAGTCGGCAAGTCTGGGCAAGTGGAAGATCGACACTCATACAAGCAATTTTGTGAGATCGACTTCACCACAATGGTGCGCGTGCCCGGATCTTCTGAGGCCTCTGGATTTCACCGTGAGTCCACTGGCGAAGATGTCAAGATTAAGCAAGAACCTGGTATTGAAGCGTCAGCGACAAAGGGATCGACGCAGACACGCAGAAGCACAAGATCCTCAGATCATCAGAGTTTTGGGAGGGGCTCTGATGAAATGAAAATGAAAGAGGAAGATCGGGAGATCGATCTGGAAGATAAACCTCAATTCCCTCCTAGGGTCCCTTCGGGGGCCGCCGCAGATCGCTCTGCAAAGAGCGATCTGCTGGATGAAAATCCAATGGCGAAAACCAAATCGGCGAAAGCCAAACCCTATATCTTAGTCGATAGATCGCCCGACCTCAAGCCGAAGAGCACAATCGCGAGATCGACCACATCAGAACGATCCGCGACGAGATCGATGGGATCAGATGTCAAAGATCGCCAGATCGGCCGAACCGTGCAATCGAAGATCGGAGCCAAAGAGGAATACGATGAAACACCAGATAAGATCGCGATGCCAAAGACGGAATATAACCCAATAAAGATCGCGTCCATGGAGAAGGAGACGAAGGGTGAAGCGCGGGAGCGTGCAAAATGGCAGTACTATTATGGCCAGTTGAAGACGCTGCTCAAGACGGACCCAGTGTTCAAGATATTAAGGCCCAAGGTGATTGGTCCTCTGGATAAGCCGATCTCGGTCCCACTTCACGGGACCAACAAAGTCGACGAGGTCAATGTGATTTTGCAGATTTTGGACGACATGGGTATCTGCCCTGACGCTTTTGATGGAGATGAACTGCTGAGTTGCAGCATGGAACAGTTGAAGGACGCGGCGAATGAGTTTGTAGAGATCATGATAATGCTGGTGGGCAAAGCGAATACTCCTGAAGACAAGATCGGGACGCCCTCGGGCTCGCTCTGTAAACACCCCGCGGGATCGCCCCGCTACGCCTCGGATGACTCCGAGAGCGAGTCAGATGGATCCATCAGCATTCGTCAGATGTCTCTAGGACCATCGGGTGGAAGGTTCTTAAAGGACAAGATCGGACAAGCCAAGATCGACTCCTATAAGGGACAAGCCAAGAGCAACATGCCGCAGAGATCGGCCAGTACCCGCACTGGGCTGGAGGATCAAGAAGAGGGCGATCTAAGTCGGTACTTCAATTCAGCCATAAAGAAGTACGAGGCGGATCAACGTACAGCTCAGCGAATGAATCGGCAGCCAAACCGCTACCCAGATCGACGTACTTTGCTCCAACCTTCACACGAAAGCCTTGACATGCCGGATGTGGAGATGGAGTCGGTGGGGTCGGACATTTACCATCATATCCATGAGGGGGCGGAATACGACCCGGATGATCTATGGATGCCCGAACCACGGCGCGCTCATGTAGCCGCGACCGGTGCGACTACCGGAAGGGGAAGCATCACGCAGAGGATCAGAATCTCAGCGATTTCTGAGCTGAAAGAATTCTCAGGGAAGGATCGGGAAGAAGACAAAGCGCGAACCTGGATCGGCAAAGTGAAGTCAGCGTTTATCCGGGACCAAGCACCGGACGAGGAGAGATGTCTGGTCTTCGGTGATCTCATGGTGGGCCCAGCCCGCTACTGGTATCGACAGCTGAAAAGATCGACGAGATTCAATTGGAAAGAATTGATGAACAGTTTTATTGTGGAGTATGCGGGACACGGGATGTCCGCGAGCAGGCAGTACTACCATGCAAAGAAACGATCGGAGGAAGATCCTTTACAGTACCTGTATCGGCTTAATGTGATGGGAATGCAGGCGAAGATACCGGTGATGACTGGATTGCCAGCTGCGCGCAAGGAACATGTCAATCATTTCATTGACACCTTGGACGACCCCGATCTGTCCAATCAATTGCTACTGCTGAATGTAGAAGACGCGGAGGCCATGCAAAAGACACTGCACGGATATCAACAAGGGAGATCGCGTCAAGGGAAAGTGATGATGGGATCGTCCAAATTCAGGCAGAAGGGAACTCAGGGTCCAGCGCTGTCTAAGCCTGCACGAGCGGTAAGGATGGTCCGTACCGAGGACGTCTGCAGCGAGTCAGGATCGGACACCTGCGGATCGGATTTGGAAGATCGATTGAGATCGATCCATGTGGCTGCTACTGCGGATCGCCGTTCATCCCCCAATGACGTTGCAGCAAACGCGAGATCGGTCGACCCGAACACTCGTCAAGACTATCAAGATCGCAATATGCCATTGAAGCCGTGTACTCATTGCGGATCGACCAAGCATGGAGATCTCGGTTGCTGGAAGCGGCTCACTTGCCAGAAGTGTGGGCGTAAAGGACACCCCTCTGACAATTGTTTATTCGTGTGTCGTGCTTGCGGTGAGATGAATGACCCGGGGAAGTGTCCCATGGAGGAGTTCTACAACATGATCCGTCAGTGGTACGTCCCAACCAAGCATGCGGGGATGCTGCCAGAGAAGGCCGAGAAGATGTTAAAGTAGGACGCTCGCCAGGTTTGAATCTGGTTCGAGCCGAGCGTTCTGGGCTCTGCATCATTGCATACGTGGAAAAAAAGAAGAAAGATCGCGAGAGTAAGCAGGATACAGAGATAAAAACAAATATTTCTTGTTCGAAGTCAAGACGTGTCGCTTCCGTGTCCCATCTGAAGAGGATCGATGAGTACTCACGATCTGAACCAGCTATGGAGATCGAGCTCGCTTATGGTGAATCTCGCGGATACTGGAAACATTATTCACCCGGGAAGTGGTTTAAACAAGCGAAAGCCGTTGGCAAGATCAACAACGTAAAAGCTACTCTGTTATTTGATTCTGGTGCTGAAGTGTCGATCATTGACACCACCTTTGCTCGTGAGGTCGGTTGCAATATTGACGAAAGTCAACGACAAGAATGTATCGGGATTGGAGAAACTCCGTACATGACGGTAGGACGTACCAAGATCAAGGTGACCCTCGCGGGATCGCTGGTATACTATTTCAATGTATGGGTAGGCGATCTGGCAGGGCAAGAAGCGATTCTGGGTATGGATTTTATGGTGCCTGCTGGAGTGCGGCTCGATCTAGCGGATGGCGCGCTATGTCTACCAGAAGAAATCCGCATTCATCTCGCAGGACGTCGCCCCGCGTACGGATCGAAGATACAACATATAACGGCGAAGGACCAACACGTGGTGATCCCGGTCGGAGAGTCAAGGGAAGTGAAGATCGGGATCGGAGGGGCTAAGATGAAGTTGTGGGTCGCTAGAGGACTAGATTGGGTCCCCACTGTGATCTCGGGGTGGGGTAAGACGAAATACCTGCAGATGACCAACATTGGCGACCGTGAGATCATACTGCCCACCCACACTATATTAGGCATGTGGGTCGAAGGCGATATGGTACCGCGAACTCAAGGTTTGGTGACAGTCGGGTCAGGGAAGTACAAGGAATGGCAAACTCTGGCATATGAGGCTACGACGGATCGAGTGAACGAACTCCCGAAAGAACCGATCGGACCATTGGTAGATCGTCCTACGTATGCCGCTCCCAAACGCATCTTGAAACGTCCGTCTGATGCGTTACAGAACCTGTCTCCGGCGATCTCCACGGTAACGCCGCAAGCTAACGATGACGATTCGCAAAAGGCAGATGCTGTAGTTGCGAGGGAAGTAACGGTCAGGGGAGCCGAACTATCGCGGATGGAGAACGGTCATGAGATCGGTACCCAACATGCAACGAAGGGAGACCGCGACACCGGGCAAGAAGGGCTACGTGACAGATCGTCTCTACCGAAGGCTGAGCCGACTGACCGACTGTTGAAATTGGGCCAGCCGGAAGAGACGAAGGAGCCTAAAGAAGAAATAATGCTAAATACTGAAGACGTCGAGATTGCAGAAATACCAGTTTATCACCACGAGAGCGGAGATTTGTTTGCGGAAGATATCGAGCAGCATATGGCCGTGCTACCAGAGATGTCGGCGACTACGGAAGAAGTTACGATTGAGGACATTCAGATCGGTGATCCCGATGTGCCTCTCACCACAGATCAACAACGGCTCAGATCGCTGATCTGGAAGAGCCGTCACCTCCTCATGGGTAAAGGTAATGCTCTACCACCAGCAGCACGAGGCGCGATCTGTGATATTGATGTCGGTGGGGCAGCACCGATAGCGCAAAGAGTGCGTCCGGTCGCACCCAAATATCGGGAGAAGCTGTCAGATCTCATCAAAGGACTATTAGCAGCCAAAATCGTTCAGCCATCCACGTCACCTTGGGCGTCTCCGATAGTGGTGATCATCAAGAAGAACGGAGTGGATATTCGCCTTTGCATTGATTATCGAAGAGTTAACCAGCTGACGCGTCTGATGGTTTATCCCATGCCGTTGATCAGCGATCTGTTGGAAGATCTGGATAAAGCTCTATGGTACTGTTCGCTAGACATGGCTAGTGGATTTTGGGTCGTCGAAATGACTGAACGAGCAAAACTGATCTCAGCGTTTGTCACACCGTTTGGCTTGTTCGAGTGGCTGCGAATGCCTTTTGGGCTTAAGAACGCGCCCCAGATCTACCAACGTCTGGTGGACAATGCGTTGTATGGATATCTCAAGATCGGCCAGAGATCAGCTTCTGATGGCCCGATCGACGTGTTCAAAGATGGAGAACCTGAGACAGATCGACGACCGTCTATACTGGGACGCCGATCTTACATTGACGATATTCTCATACCAGCCACGTCATGGGGATCTTTGTACACAAAAGTAGAACGGTTGCTGGAGGCATGTGATAAGTGGAATCTGTCTATCAGCCTCACGAAGAGCTTTTGGGGGTGCCGTAAGGTCGATTATTTGGGACATCGAGTGTCGATGGATGGTCTGGAGGCTCAGCCCAAGAACCTAGAGTCGTTGGTTAACATCCCGTTTCCTAGCACGCTACGAGCTATGCAATCCTTTCTCGGGAGCTTGAACTACTACCGTCGCTTCATTGAGGATTTCGCGGTGTATGCCGCGGTGTTGTATGAGTTAAGAGAATCGGATTTCTTCGAGATCGGCCGATCTCAGCTTGCAGCAGGAGACGAATGCTCCAACGAGGGTCGATGGACGGAAGCCAAGGTTGCTTTCACTATGCTAAAAGCTAAGATAGCTACAGCTCCCATGCTCAAGCATTTCGACCCAGATCGGTCCCCCGTAATCGTGGTCTACGCTAGCAAGTGGGCTGTCTCAGCGGCCCTGATACAGGAGTACGATGGCGTGTACCATCCGGTGACGTTTACTAGCCGCACTTTAAAGCCTAATGAGCTTAACTACGGAACGGTAGAAAAAGAAGTGCTGGCGCTACTTCGTGTGTTGGATGTATGCTATACTACGCTTGCCTCGCGGGGAGATCACTGTACTGACCCGACATTCTACGTTAGCCTGGTTGATGCAGTCTCGAGGGCTCAACGGGAGATTAGGACGGTGGGCTGCTTTGTTGTCAAATTGGACTATGGAGGTGAAGAAATGTGAAAGAGGAGAGGAAGAGATCCTGGGCATGTTAGCAGCGAGTATCACTCCGAGAGGAGAAGTGGAAGAGATGCTGATTGCGATCTCCCCACGAAAAGACTGTCGACTCAAAATATCGATGCCTCCTCCAACGGTGGAAACAGATGAGGAGTTGCTGGTGGCCAGTTTCGATGGATCGGCTAGGATAAAAAAGAAAGGAGGGTCGTTCAGTGCCGTGATATGGAAGTTACCCGAATGGACGATCGTGGCGGCCGAATCGAGATATGTTCACGATCTGACTGTGAATGAAGCTGAGTATAATGGCTTGCTACTGTGCTTTGAGTTACTCGCCGATCTGGATAGGGGGCGAGTAATACTGTGTGGAGATTCCAGTCTGGTGATTCGACAGATGCGCGGTGAGATCGACTGCAAGGCACCGGGCCTTCAGCTTCTGAGACACAAAGCGTTGGAGAAGCTGCAGTCATGGCCTAGTCACGAGTTTCTGCATATGAAGCGAGAGTGGAATCAGAGCGCAGATCGACTAGCCAGCACAGCATTGCAGAGCGAAAAGGGAAGAACGGTTGTAGCTGAAGAGGATCGGCAAGATCTGATGACTCTGAACCGTCTCGATGAATTGTTGAAGCCCAAGCAAGATGGTCAGCTAGCTCGGGTAACTGCGATCGCGAGATCAGCCAGGAGGATACGTCATGAACCTGAAGTGATACAGGAGGAGATAGTACAGAGGATCAGGATTCAACGAATTGTCCAAGCTCAAGATGAAGAGCGTTGGATTGTCAATCTCAAGACATATCTAAGTGGCGATGTATCAAACTTGGATGCGGTAGAAGTGAAGATGTGCGCCAAACTGGCGCCGGATTACGAGATCGATGAGAACAATCTGCTATTTTTTTGCCCCATGGCGAAAAGAGAGTCGGAAGATCGCGATGGTTTGATGCGGTTGGTGATCCCTGAGACGTTGCAGCAGGATTTTTTGCATCACTATCACACGAGTCTGGAAGGAGGCCATCAGGGTATTGGCCGAACCTATCAGAGGATCAGATCGCGATTTCATTGGAGAGGACTGTATCGGAGCGTTCAACGATATGTGGGCGAATGTACCGACTGTGAGACCGGGAAAGGAAACCCGATGATTCATGGGAAATCCCCGGGCAATCTACACGCAACCTATCCATTCCAGATCATCGCCATGGATCATATACCGTCGTTGCCCAAGTCCATCAAGGGGAACACCGAACTGCTCATTTGGGTCGACCTTTTCTCGGGATATGTGATTGCAAAGGCTAGCTCCTCTCGGACGGCACAAACAATAGCGGAGAATTACGAAGAATGTGTGTTTCGACGCTTCGGAGCTAGCGAGGCTATCAGGCACGATCGAGAACCGGGATTTATGTCCGACTTCTTTCGAGCCTTCAGTCGGATCGTAGGACAAAAACAGCGTGCTACTATGGCTTACAGGCCACAAGCAAATGGAACAGCCGAACGAATGGTGCAAACCCTGACACATTCGCTCAAGATGTACGTGGCTGAAGTTGACCAGCGAGACTGGGATGAGTATGCTGAGCGGCTCACATTTGCCATTAACACTGCACAAGATCGGATCCGGGGGATACCCCGTTTTATCTGATTCATGGGTGGGACCCGCGATCGACTTTGGAGGCTACGCTACCAGTGGGGAATACGGGGACACGAGATCGCGATCCAAAGAGGTGGAGATACAAAATCCAAAGACAATACCAGCGAGCCCGATCTGCAGTGAACGATCGTTTACAAGCCGCGATCCAGGAGCGAGCGGATCGACACAACGAAGATCTGGAACCACACGAGATCGAAGTAGGAGCGCAAGTTTGGCTATACCTGGACCGAGTTAAAGAGGGATATGCGAAGAAGCTAGCGCACATGTGGCATGGGCCATTCCGAGTTGCGGACGTATGTGGAGATCATGCTGTAAAATTGGAGATCGCTGGAACCCCATATCGGTTATTTCCGATTGTACATATATCGAAGCTAAAAAAGGTAAAGACGTTCCCTGAACGCCCGAAGGATCAGCTTACGATAGAGGAATCAGATCGCTTGGATTTCGATGAAGCTCTGCTGCCAGAAGACAGTTGGGATGGCGATCTTGAAGAAGGGGAATACGAAGTAGAGGCAATATTGGACGTGCGATCTGGTAGAAAAACCCGTTATGGGCGAGTACACCGGCAGTTTCTGGTGAAGTGGAAGGGATATCCCGATCTAAGTTGGGTGGACGAGGCCGATCTAAGTTGTGGGGCGATCTTGCAAGAGTTTGAGCGGAACCGAGTGAGTCGAAACCGTTTCGACGTAATGCAGTCTCATGAAGGCAAGTCGGACGAACCTTAACAGTTCGAACAAGTATGCGGGAGGTAGCATATGCGGATGTAGGGGTTGAAAGATGTGCTAGACGGTAGCACATGCTGGTGGATGAGGTTTTTGTATGTGAGTATGGAGATAGTCAAGTGAATTACCTTCCTGAATGATGTGGAGCGATGAGGATCGAGATCGTGGAAGCTGCAAAGAATTGAAGTACCAAAAAGAAGATGATTGAATGACTTACACGATTATGAAAGACGATCGGGCTTGGATATCGACCTTGGACTAAGACGATGGAGCAGGTTTGAACTTGTCCTGCAGACGAGGGATCTGCGATCCGGGATGATCTAGATGGCGCGGAGACCCAGGCCGATCGGGGACCGCTGGGGTGTGTCCTCCGAGATCTGGCGATCCGGGCGACAGGTCGCGATCCGGAGACAGAAACATGGTGGATCCTTCTGAAGAGATCGGCGCGGTGGGTGGATGCGTCGGAGAGACCATGAGACGGACTTGAGTGCTTGGAACGAAGTTGATGAGTGACTGTACTGAGGTCAATTGCTGTACAAAAGACTTCAGTACAGGGGGCGGTTGTGGCAAAGTCACTACTCAAATTTTGTACGAGGATCGGTGGCCACATCTTTAAAGCGCCGCTTACTGGTGGAAAAGGAGGCCATGAGACTCGGCGATCCAATACGGAGGTGGAAGATGATCTTAACGGGATCGGCGAACCGATCCAACTGTCGTTAGACTAATGGGTATGGATCGACCTGGGACGGAGCGATCTGGAACGATTTACATGGAACAATCTGGGACAAGGATCTGGGACCGGGTGATGGGATATGACTCTGCGACGAAGGTGTAACTGTGGTAAAGTCACTAATCAAATGATGGGACGTGGATCGGTTTCCACCCAGTTAAGATGTCACCCACTGGCGGAAGAGGTACGCCTAGGACCAGGCGATGCAACGTGATTTGAGACGGGGCGTAGAAAGGGGTGATTCCAACGGTGCGATCTGGGACGAGGGACTGGATTGAACCGAACGACCACTCTAAAGGCTGATCAAAGGAAAGGATGTGGATGTTGAAGCAGAATCATTTGAGAAAAGTACGCCTGGGACCAGGCGATGCGACGTGGTTTGAGACGGGGCGTAGCAAGGGGTGATTTCCACGGTGCGATCTGGGATGAGGGACTGGATTGAACCGAACGACCACTCTGAAGGCTGATCAGAGGCAAGGATGTGGATGTTGAAGCAGAATCATTTTGATAAAGCATCGGAGTGCACACAATGAACGGAAGAACATATATGGCCGGATTGTACTGTGTCGATCCTCAACAATCTCGAATTGGGCATCAGATCGGTCATGATCCCCACTGATTATGGATGTATCGTTGATGAGAATTTTGGATCATGACAAACATGCTTGTTGAAGGTCCATGAGTGATGTCTCAAAAGTTCAGATCGAAAGAGCCAGTGGAAGCCGGTTAAATTGACGTCGCAAAATGGATTTAGACGCCTTCGGCATTTGGGCACTATTTTGGGCTTTTGGGTACCAAAAATGGGTATTTGGTACCCCATTTGGGATTTGGTCCTCTTTTGGCGTTCAGGTACGGTATCGGGAATATTGGCGCTATCATTGGAGTACAGGGCACGAAATTTCGACACGTGGCAAGGGGGCGATCCAGATTCAAGGCGATATCGGTTTGAAGAGTGACCTATAGTTAAGAATAGGCTTAAGGGTAGGTTGGATAGTAATTTGGTTGGTTAATAAACAGACTTGAACTCTACTTCTTCTGCTCACGACGCACGTTATCCTCCCCTCTTCTCCAGGCAAGATTGATTTGGCTTCCCCGGCGGGTTAAGGCACGCGTGTTACAGGGACACAGAAGACCGATCTTGGATTGTTGGCCAAGATCGAGAAGAGCGATCCCGGGATATCTGGCCCGGATCGATCAAGTACTCACACTCAACTCAACTGCTAGGGTAGCAGCACACAACGGAAAAGGAAAAGGATTTTGGACACAGGATCGCGAGACGGCTCAAGTGGTCAGAAGATCTGGACAAGGCGTTCAAGACAAGACCGAGCAGGATCGAAGCGATCCCCTGGACAGATCGGCACGTTTCATTTTGGCGAAACAAGACACCGATCTACCCAAATTGCGCACTTCCGGCAAGATCGGCCGATCCCAAGACCAGATCGGACCGATCCCAAGGCAAGATCGACGCAGGACTTTTATTTGCTGAGTGAAGATTTCCGCACAGCAAAGACCCCGATCTCGAAGACAAATCAAGATCGGTGCGATCCAAGATCGGGATCGCAGAACCCCGTTCGTGGTGTGAAGATTTCCGCACCGGAAGCGAACCCTCAACCCAACCTCTCAGCGAGATCGACATCTCCCAAGGCCGTTACGAAGAGCTCAAGCCAGCCCAACCGACGGGTACACAAGGTGAGCACAAGTCATACAACAAGGCACGGATCGGAGTACCCCCTCCGTGAGTCGGCAAGTCTGGGCAAGTGGAAGATCGACACTCATACAAGCAATTTTGTGAGATCGACTTCACCACAGTTATTTGCCGTCTAGAGCCCCCTTCATGGTACCAACGGAAGTAGTTGTATCACTACAATCTTCATCAAGACGTTGCAAAACATCGCCGCATTTTCCAGGAAACGCATGCGCAGTAGCAGGTGCAGAATTCTTATCCTACGAGCTAAACATTTGTAATTACCGTGAGATTGACTATTTTCTCGATTCTTATTAGTAGTCGAGTATTCCGTCGCCATGTAAAACTCGGTAGACCTAGGCGTCTTCTTCAAGTCGGACGCACCGTTCGACTCCCCCAAATGGATGAGTTTTATTTTGGAGCCATTATCATCATTGGAACGTGGTGACACATTTCGTGCATCTGCGGTAATTGGTGACGTAGGACGAGCTGCAGTAGAAGCAGAAGAAACAATGTCTGCCGTGAGAGGATGAGCTTTGTCTAGAGCAGATGCGTTAACACGCGCAGATGCATTCTCAGCAGCTTTCGCCGCGCATCGCATGGAGTTTTTCATCATGCGATGTAGATTTATAAGTGAGTAGATCAGACCAGACAAGTGCTTCCCGTTCCTGATGTGGTCTAGCGGTGAGAACATCAACAAGATAGTGACTAAGTGGCTATCTTTTTACGGCGGGGGGTGATGTAACAGAGTTAGCCTGTTGCATGTAACCTTATTACTTGTCTATTAAAATATTATCATACAGGTTATATGTTCGTGAATATTATCACAAGGGGTAATATTCAAATTTACTCACCTATTGGCTGATACGGGGCCTATCAGCCAGCTCTTGCGATCCAATTAATGATGAACGCGCGCAATGAGTAGTGAGCAAGACTTTAGGATACACTAATGTCTATAAATGTAATTAAGTTAGGACCAATACATAGGTTAATGACTAGGACTTGATCGTACTAAAGACACTTCTACTTTCTACTTCTTTTGAACGCGTCTTTCAATAGCTAGCTTACCTCTGCACGTGCGGTATACGTGACTGAAGCGCGGCATTACCTACACTGTTGTCAGTGAAGGTGCACTAGTACTGAAGCAGTACTAGTGACCATTGCCCGTTACAGTCTATGTCTGCAAATAGCGCTAGGTGTACCTTACACGTCTCATTATGTGTGGCCTACCTTTTCTCTACCCATGAATATATAGACATACCTGAAGTCACTCCATGCTAGGACACTATTGTGATGCACGATCATTATTGGCTAAAAAAGATCAAGGGGGGGCTTCCGGTAAAAGCTGAAAGACATGATTACAGAAACTGCAGCAGCTAATGCGCAGATAGCTTTAATTTCACCTTAACAGTATTTTATGCACGTCCATAGACCACAGATGGTAGAGAATTGTGGTGGCTCTAAAATGAAAATGTACATTTGGTCCATCTATCTCTGCCATGCTCTTCGCTTGTCAGGCTTAAATAATTGTCTTCGATAATAATTATTGTGGACATTTACAGCCAAGAGAAATCTTGAAAAGCGCAATGTACACTTCTTATTCTTTTACTGTCTTTTGCGGACCCGTGTTTGGTCTTGTTATTGTTGCAACTACTCCTAGACTGATGCTTTGCATACTAAGTTTTGATTTTAACCTTTTATACGCTGCAGAGATGAGCCTGCTATCTCATATCAGGACCACTCCGCTGAGCAGCACTATGCCGAACACGATATAAAGAGACTAGGATACACAGTCAGCTATAGAAATTGATAGAAAAAGCCGGAGACGTGGATATAAATGCAGAGATTGATGCGTATTCTAGTCAAAAGAGCGTAGGAATGTAAACTTGTAGAATGGACGGAGACGCAGATGCCGATGAGAACTGCATCAATAGCAACAACAACAAACAAGATGACACTGGTAAATACGCCAATCAAGACAAAAACAACAACTACCACGAGCACGAATACATTGACCTGATGAAGATTACGATAAGACTGCAGATGAAGAGGGGTGTATTGACACCTACATCGAGAATATTGACGACGATAGAGGCTTCCATATGGCTGCAGGTGTAACGACTTAACCCCCTAGTATCCAACGGGTTTGCGCCACATCTTACCAAATGTTCTATCTATCCAATGTGTACTCACGTAACATTAGAGGCAAGACGGGAAAATCGAATATACCCATGAAACGTATCTCACGTCGACAACGTTTGCGGATGAAACAATGTTTCAAAACCTATAGGTGCACAAATTTTACAGCAGAAAACAGAGATTATTTATTATAGAACACCATACATGGCTTCTTGCTTGCGCAAGAAGGTGCCAATCTCGTTCAATTTTGCGGTAGCTGAGGATGGTAGTTCGCTATTGGGTAAACTGTGGTTATGTCGCAGGTCAGATACGACAAATGAGGTTGTAGTGTGTCGACGACGTCATGCAAAAAATGGGTAACTCATCAGCACGAACGTTGTAATCGGAATAGATTATCAGTTTAAAGAAGCCTTTCAATTGTTCCATGTAAAGCTTGTGATCTGAACGGGTCCGAACCTATCATTCCACGTAAAAACGAAAGATGTAGATGACCAAAGTATGTTGTGACCAAGACCACAAAAGTATATACCACTAATCCAAATGATTGCATATTCTTCTGCAAACCGACGTAAATAAAGCTGAAACTGCGTAGAAGTTCTCATCGATATGAGCGGCTTAAAGGAAAGATGACGAGACGGACAACGTCACCACAAAGTTGCTCTTCTTCGTCATTTTACCACTACGCCAATACATTTGAGTGCAAAATTAATGAAGGTGACTCGATTGAAATAAGCATAGTCTACTTTCTATTTATCGTATCAGGTACTACATTCCAGGCTCTTGACAATGTGGAGCATGTGTATGTTCAGATGATACAGCTCTTCTCACGGTGCATACGCCGATGCAACAAATTTGGCATTAGTGGCTACCGTTTTGCGAGCAGCTCAAGTGCGCTTTGCTACTACGGGAGAGGCAGCGCAAAGCGTGGCGCGAGTTTGGATCCTTACATCCATCGTGTACTCGCATAAAAATCGATACAGATTTGTGCAGCTTTTAATTGTCCTTGAAAAAAAGAGAACTTGCGACAAGAGTTCTTAGTCCTCGATCCTATGCACATTACATGGTCCTTTGAGCAGCCTGCATAAGAAATGCGTTTGTAGCACCTGTCGGATGCAGTATTCATCTATACTGACGAGGGCACGAAAGATCGATTTATAGCCAAGGCGATAGCAAATACGTGGTACAGCCAATGATTACTAAAGATTGTGCAAACGAAGACTACAATCTTAGCTCTGACTTCCTCCTTGCCGAATGTGCACAATCAAGAAGGTGCATTGAGAATGATGTACTTGTTACTGTTGACCTCACACATCTCCATCAATAGTGTGGAGCACCCGCCACGTATTCAGACATACTACTGAGATGTAGATATTCGTAAAGCAATACGAAACCTTTCGATAGAGACAATATCATGCTTCCGGTTTTTGGCTGCCCAAATTTATGAAGCTTCCTTTGTATGTGATCTTACATACAAGGTGATCAGTGTGCACATACAATACCCGTCTCGTTTCACCGGATGTGCACCCTATGGCGCATCATCGCCTCGTTTGTCATGTATGACCACCTCTTTTGTTTAGATGCAGTCATCGCTAACTTTTATCGACAAAAAAACATTAGTTCCACCTTGATATCATTTCATGGCAGCTCCTAGGGCTCGATCGTCACTTTCTATCGCAGGTTATTTTACATGGACCTACAACACTGGAAAAAAGCTTGTGACAGCTATCAAATCTGCGTCAAGAGTTTGGAGTAGGCAAATGTTCAGCTACCAAAGAGCACAACGCGTCTTCTTCACTTTGCCTCAACAGCGTCTCTATGCACCCTCTTTCCTTCTAACTTATGTCTCTGCTCTATGGAATCGTTTACATCCATGTCATTTTCGTCAGCAGACCCCTCGTATCTAGCCTATCGTTATAAATCTATACAGAATAGCCATAGTCGTTTTCTTGCGTTCACGTCTTGGGCAAAACTTTGCTTTAGCTTTCGTCAAACGACCGGTATTTGTCGAGCTCGAACGCAAACGTGAGCGTTTGGATAGACGATAACAACACTGGTAGTGGTCGTGCGGCATAAAAATATTGACCTAAGTGTTGCAAGGTAGTTGTCTTGTTACCTGTGATTGTTGCAGCATCATGAGGTGCCACAGCACTCCAACCACGATGGCCGGTGCTGGGGTCAACACGCTCGAGCGGACCTTCAGTTGCAACAGGAATCTAATTCACAGAAGTGGGGTAACATCGAAGGCACATCAAGATCTTGGATGGCGAAAATAAGACCGATGTGTGTACATGTGTAGGAAGAAGACAAGTAAGTAAAACGCGGAATGTAGCGCCAGTTTAGTTTTTCCAAAAACTACTAAGTCGTCAATAAAGCCGAATTTCTCACTTACCAGTTGTCACTCCTTTAACTGTGCATAGAAACTTGCAACACTAAGGTGTTCATATTAAGCTTTTCTGCATAGGCTACATAGTGTCTTCTGTGTAATATGCATGAAGGGCAAAGGTATCAGCTTTTCTTTAGACAGAATGGGACGTTTCACACGTTCAGTAATAACTAACTAAGATATTTATGCATTTACGTTACAAGTAGTCTCAATAGATGATGGGGCTGTCTAGGCGTACACCCCCTAGTAACTGCGCGCACCCCCCCCCGTGTGTGTAATCGTCTAATTGTTCTGTGTACCCTCCCTTTTTTTATAAAACGAGTTTTTTTTTCTCTCGCGCTGACCAGCAACCAATAGTTAGCGCGCGGAAGAAGCCACAAATGACCGTCACTCTCTTTTTCACATTGTTGAAGCCACAGCATGAACAGCGAGGACGCGGCCACGCGCGCAGCCAAGCGCAAGCACGCCACCTCGGGCGGCCGCAAGCTGCTGCGCTGGGACGCCGCGCACTGGAAGCTGTTCGAGCGCACGATGCCGTACACGACGCGCCTTAAGAGCACGCCGCTTTTACACCTGCGCGCCCCACTCGCGTCGATGTATGTGAGATGCTGTCCCGTCTGCGGCGTGGCCCGTGCTTACGCTCTTGTGTGTCTCTCTTTATATGTGCTGTTGTTCATTAGCTAAGAGATCTATTTTTCAGTCATAAGAGTCACGCGCCGTCGGTGGTAATGGAGCAACCGGTTGTCGGCACGCGCTCGGGGTCTGTAGTGAATCTGGGGCTCGTGATTGACGCGACAGGCAGCAACACGTGTCTGCACGATGTTAAGTGGTTGAGGTTGTGGTTGTGCTGTGGGTGATGGTGAGGGAATGAGAGGTATTGACTTGACAATTGTATGGGCTGGTAGGGAGTAGGACGGATTAGATGTTCAGTATGTCAATCTGAAGGTTTACGGTAGTAAAGGTAGGAGCTCTTTTTAAATGCTTTGGCATGGTAGGCTGTGGGCGGCACGTGTAAATGGTGTTACTGGGTGATTGTATGTAGATGAGGTAATGGGTCCGGATGTGCACGACAACAGGTTGACACAAGCATTTTGCAAGACGCTATTCGGCCACTTGAAGGGCGATGGAAAGGACATGGATATGGCTGTTTTTCGGGGCGGATTGCTGAACCTTTGTGAGGTTTCTCGTTGTGCGGTGAGTGATGACAGTGTTGGCGTTTAATGGAGATACTCATGGGGTAAAAATTGTGGTGCTGATAGCTTTTTGGTCGAACATTGAGGCCTGAATCTCGACGCTGCGGTTGTAGAGTTTGCAGTCTCGACTTCGCCTGGTATCTACATGAGGCATTACCAGACGGTGCGTGCATTTTGGACCTATGTGGGAGAGCCGGCTGATACGATACTATATTGTGCTGCTTTCGACTTTTTTATCAGAACATACTCCGGAAGCGCGAGAGCGAATTAACCACTGTCGTTGAGGTTGTAACGGACCACGGTATCATTTACTCCCCCTTGGATGCTCCGTATAATCGTGGTGGCTTCGAGTGTGAGGAGCCGATTTTTTAGTTCGTTGCTAGTGAAGACAGCGGCATCCCTGGTGAAGATGGAAGCATCTCAGAGCAGCGACTGGTTCAGTATATTGAACATATCTCGAGTTGACTGAGTTCAGCGCTGCGCAACTTCCTTTTTCAGCCACGAAATGGGAACAGAGCTAAGCACTTTAAAGAGGAATTTTTGCGAAAGGCGCGTATTCAGGTGTCAGGCCGTGTATTGCATACGAGCCAGCATGACGTGTAGTGCATTTGGATTGGTATGCCCCCTCATAACTGCACGCACCCCCCTGCGTGTGACGCGACGAAATTCAAGTCCTTACGTTACATATCTAATAGTGATTGCAACCTGACGAAGAAAATCATGTTCGAGTTCCGAATGTGAAATGCACATAGTAAATCTACTCAATGCATATGTATTATATACTCTGCTAGATGTTTGCTATCTCAAGAGAGGACAATTGCACCAGTCATGTCCTTCCTACCGACAATCTGGATTTCTGCATCTTCGGAGCTCGCGCTCTAGCTTCCACTAACTCAAATGCAGACGGATTACGCCTTGTGCTACTCCCCACCACCGCACCCACAGGTCTGCCTCTAGTCTGCACTACCACAGGGTTGTGCACTGGTGTGAGCGGCTGTTGGGAGAGCTCTACACTTTTTTACTCCAAAAGACGTTGCCGGTGTGGAAGGAGAGTTTTGTGTTGAGATTGCAGCTTCGTCAATGCATTTGCAAAATCTGTCATCGCATCTGCAGAGGTATCACTGTCATTGCACTCAGGCTCTTGACATTTTACAAGCCACCAGTGCCTATGGAAATGGTGGGCCCCCAACGAAAGATTGTTGCCAATTAAATGGTTGAGTTCGTGGGAGCAAGGAAGCTCATCGTACTTCAGAAGATGCTGGGGCAGGTGGAGCCGCCAACCAGGTGTTTAGCTTTCTGGAACTGTTCATACACCTTGCTCAAAGCATAGTATGATATCTTCCGCTTGACATCCTTCTAAAGTTGCGAGAGAAGGCGAGCATGGAATACGTCTTGTTGTAGATAATCTGTTGACGGATGTGATGTTCTCGATAGTCGATCGGGAGGGAGATCTTCTCGTACACATTTTTAAGATCTCCTGAAGAGACACTGATCCATCCTTTTATCGAAAAATGTTTGCCTTCAGCGCGAGATGTAGCCAAGTGACCAAGATGCAAGACCAGCTTGGTGGATGCGGTGACAAACTTTCCTTGTGTACGATCCATGTGCTCCTCGTGTATTCCACGGTCTTTCCGTACTCGCAGTAGGTGATTTGAATTTTTTTCCAATCAGCGATAAAAGTCTCCACATCTATAAAAGCAACCAGAAGGTGTCAGTCTGCCAGAAACCGTTCCCACCCTTCATTGGTTCGGAAACATTTCTTCAGGTTGGCGACAATGTTCTTTTCGATGTGCAATATGCAGAGAAGATTAAGAGCATCTCCGAGAATGATTTTAATTGCTGACATTAAAGCCAGCTCTCGATCAGTAACCACCACCCCAGCCAGGCATTTCAAGAAAAACACCCTTTCACGCGTATCAAAGCCCAAATATAGTCCTCTTCTGCCTATCCGCTCATATAGCAAAGACATATGGAGAGTGTAGCATTGGTGCTGTCATGCCGACAACGTGGAGGAGTGGGAGCTTAAACCTATCAGACAAATGTTGTATTAGAGACTTGTATAACGCAGGCTGCAAGGTGTGAAGCCCATCACCTTTTGGCCTTGTACGTAGAGTCCAATAATACACGTCGAGAAATTTTCTGGCTCGATCAACAGCACTTGGCGTAGCGAAGAAGAGGTGTGTGATTCGACCCTCATCGTCTTTTGCATAGTCATGCATGACCTCTTTTTCCTTCAGCTCGTCTAGCAGGGCCTCCAGAGGTGTACGGTCTTCAAATCTCATTGTTGAAGCCGGGATTTAGCATTGGAGATGCCTTTACTGGTGAGGTTTATTTACGGATCTTGTTGCCGTAAGGTCGTAAGGATAACTTTGGGGTCTGCACCGGCCTTGGACATCTGTTGTATGACTTGTCGCGCTTAATCGGTGACTTTATGTGCGCTGGGAAAGCCTGACATATCAGCTGTTGCCTCATGGTTGTGAGAACCCTCCTCTACCTTGACCCGCCAAATCCATCCCTCTGCGGACAATTCTCTTTTGATAGTGACGCTCCAGGGGCATTTAATGCATCTGCTGCTGGTCTTTCTCTTCCGATTTCTTTCAGTGAGATATTCGCGATGGTTCCTGTACTCTAGGCCGTGCGAGCAATGGAGCAAGACCTTGCGTGTTTCACCGCTTTTGGAGGGGTTTGAGCGAGTCCACCCCCCCACATCGTAGCCTTCGTCAAGTACAAACCGCTCTACTACCAACTGAGCATCATTAAGAGAAGGATAAGTATGATCGGTAGGTGGTGCTAGCATTGCCGGAAGAGCAAGGAACAGAGAGATAATAGGATTGAATGGAGGATAGCTCGCATATGGTGGGAAAATATTCGACATCACGGGGGGGGTTGCGCTTAGTTGTTGGGGGGTGTACGCCTAGGCGGTCCCTAGATTATTTTATACAGTTCGCCTGGGTGTCTGCGCATCCAAGGGTAGTTATGTGCCTGTAATTTACTTAAATAAGTGGAAGCTATTTACATTCCCCGTCCTTATTTTCACTATCCAACGTGAACATCAATCAAAAGATACACAAAATTCAGCTATTTTAAACGCATCGCATTGGTCGTCGGTACCCCTAGTCTCCACTTACTACTTGTACTACACATACCGTCATCTTTTGCACCTTTGTTTTTCGCTTCTACTGCCCCCCCTGGTTCCGAAAGCGCTGTGTCACTTGTCAGTGTATGTGATTCTCCCATGTGTATGAATATAGAATGCAAACCGTAATTCCAATTTGACAAGCTTGTCTTTACTCTTATGTTTCTTCTGCTGGACGTCTATACGAAAATGCTCGTCTTGCATGGGCTCCTGTTTGTTCTCCTTGACAAGGACGATGCGTGAGGACTACGAGCGTGCGGTCCAGGCATGGGCCGATCGCTGTGAGCTTTCACTCACCCGTAACAAATATCAGCACTGAAAGTCCACAGAAAAGCTTCGCAAGCGAGGAACAAGTCTAGGTCCTAAATGAAAGTAGCCAATCAAGCAAGTGAATAAGTACCTGGAATTTAAGCGTGTAGCTGCTGCACTATACTCTGGTCCATTGGTTCCATCAGGTCTGTCCACCAGCCAGGCGTCTCTATAATTCTCACACGTCCGAGAAAATGTGGCTCTCGAACGCATCTAGTGGCGTTTCCACGAGAAATTGCTGCCGCTTTCATTCGTCCATCGTGTTTGTTTAAAAGGCACAGGTACATGTTTGTCAACATGAACATGCAATCGTCTTGTTATCCGTCCCGGAAAAACTGTTCCATTTCGTGTTCATGCGCTAAACATTGGTCCAAACAAAAAAAGTGACTTCAAAAAGTGTCCTTGAGTGTGTGTAAAAAGCAACTGATGTTCTTCGAACGGCCCATCGTGGATATCACTTGACATCATACGGGCATAGTAAAACGATCGGTGGAATACCATTTGACACGGCAATCTAGTGTCTGTATGTCCATCGTTGTTCTGCTTGAGCTTTTCTTCATGCAAAACCGAGCCGTGCGCTCGACATTCGGAGTCTTAGAGTCCGTGTTTCCCCGGTATGAACTAGTCGATACAAAATCGCATGTGTAATGTATAAAGTGCTTTTTCATTGAGTTGTTACAGATGCTGAAGGGCTGCTTCTACGTCTTAGGTACGTTCTTTACGTAGGCCGGGAAATATGGGCGAAATATGTAAAAAGCTTTAAGAAAGTTAATTTAGCCATGATAAAAATAAAGGGTATAATAGAGTCTCCGTAATTCATTCTTCGTAAAGTTAATAATCTCCCTTAATTTATTAAATGTTGAGATCCGTGTCGGGTCCAGGCCAAATATTAAAACTTTCCTTAATGCTTATTATTAAAGCCAGAGAATAATAAACATTAAGGGAAGTTTTAATATTATTGAAGCCAGAGAAATAATAAACATAAAGGGAAGCTTCAATATTTTCCGCCATGCAAATATTAAACTACAGCCGGCCGGCCGAATACTACAAAAAATACTGTCCAGAGTTTGTTGCTCGAAGGAATTTCGCGGAAACGGGCGGTGCGGCCACGCTATCGTCCTCCTTGCTAACACGTGTAGAACCCTTCGCTACAACCCTATCCCCTTTACTTATCTTATTAGTAACTCCCATATTTAATAAATTTTGGTGGTCTCAGCCATATTAAATAAGTGAGACCTCACTGTAATAATTTTTTTACCCCCATTTTACTATTTTCACTCCATGAAATCAAAAAGGGTGTAGCTGACATGTTATAATGAATTGTTCTATGAAAACTACATCGACTTGTCCTACGCACCGCCATTCATACCATGACCATGCATCGCCCAAAAGGATGTGCACAAAAATTAGCCAAGCCTGGTTAGTTCTGTGAGGTCGGGTATCCGACGGTAGAGGAGGTGTACTTCAAATAAAAGCGCGCCCACTTCCCCTAAACTTTCCATCTTAAGTTCTATTAAAAAACGGTATATGATCGTTATGTGCGATCAAGCGGGATCATACAAATGTGCTTCTGTCGAGCAAAACACCAAGACACATTGCACATCATGCGAGTACAGACTCAAACCGCGACAGATCAACATATTTAAGCTGTACGATGTGACTAAACGTGGAGAAGCGCACGAACATGTCATGTGCAAAGACCTCGACATGCACACTAGTGCTAGATGTGTACATTTGAGGATGAGAGAGCAGTTGCGCGGCCAAAAAAGCAACTAGCTACCTTCCAGCACAAGTATCCAGATTTCTGCAGCGTGATCCCGGATTATACAATGGCAGTTAAAAGGGACGCAAGTGTATTATTACTCAAATAAATAATTTTGCAAGTCACGTTTGCATCCGCAAAAACAGTTGAGAGATAGTATTGCAGATTATTTATCGACTCAACGTTATCACTACCTTGGACCTTCCGACTGATTGTGTAAGCTCATGGCTTTTTGCAAAAGATTGATGCACTGCCACATAAGATTATTATGCGGGATAACAGTACTGTCAACAATAATTAGCAAAAATTGTCGACGCTGCACTGTAAAGTTACTGCGCAGAAGATGTAGTGCAGAAATGATCGTACGTTGGGGCTTGGCAAGGTCGAAACCTACCATCCTACAATCCTTCACGACGAAGAAGATGACAAGGGTTATCATATAAGCTGCAAACAGCGACAAATATGTTTAGTGTCTCGGCACTTCCAATGATGACTCGCAGACTGTTCAACAGAGACACTGTCGTCAGTATTAGGTAGTGTTAGGAGCCAAGATGCAAGATAGCTACGTGTGGTGTGCCCATGGGAGGTGTGAGGGAGAGCAATCGATATTTTTGCGGATATAGTAGTTGCTGATGATAATATTAATCAGCAGACATCAGCGACGCACTCGAACAGCGGCATCAGTGCGCAGCCTTATTGTTTCACAAATGGTGATACCTTAGAACGATCAGGTTTCGGCCGAGGTGATAAAAGGCCTGTGCTACTGTCGGGTTCTGGCGGAGTCTCGTACGAATCACTTATCGCTCAACGTCGGCTATAATTTGGAAACGAAACCTCTGCTTTGACTCATTTGGCTCGTGGAAGCGTATGGAAAACAATGGTGGCATTTGAAAGCTAGATTCGGCAACAAATGCCGCCTTTTCGACAGAAGAAATCTTCCATTTTGCTCACACAAAGCGCTACTATGATGTTAAGTTGAGAGGTCAATTCTTGGCTGCATTATCGTACTGCATCCGCTTCATGTTTTGCAGCATTCAACCACTACATCGAATCATGAGGTACGAATGATCAATACTTGCTGATTGAGCTGTGACGGGGAACTAGTTGTATTTGTGGAATGGTTTCAGTGTGGTGGACCGGCTGTAACCCAATGTGATTTAAACTGCACCGCACGTCAAGCTGGCTATACTAGATACCGAATCAGCGCCTTGAGTTAACGTATTTCAGACACTGGAGGTGATGGGTCCGGAGTATAAAGAGCGAAATTGGAAAGGCTCAGCTGTCGACATCTTTCCTGAGACTAGTTCGGTCATTTGTCGAAGTCACGAGCTCACAGAGGCCAACGACTGGAACTTTAGATAGCTGCGTTTTTCTGGAAGTATCTTAATAAAACCGACGGATTGGCTAAAATAACGCACCCGGCGTCAGAACAGACGCAAGAACTGTATTGACGAAAACTAGTTCGAATCTTTATTGATGCAGGCCCGGTTCTACTTCAGTAGTATCATGTTATATATGAGTGGCCGCGGCGTAAGAACGGTGACATAATCTTTTAGACGTACCACGCCGTCTTATCTTGATACTACAACGGATTGCAGCTTGCATCTCTCATTCTAGAATCTACTTGGCAGCTATCGGCATCACCATGCGCTTTGTTATCGCTTCGTTTAGGGTCCTTGTCATTCTCGCGTGGACATTCGATGGATCAACTGTCAAAGCTGGTAAATTGCTTGACGTTTCCGATCGTGGCTTGACCACTGTTGCTCTCCCTAATGTTAATACACCAATCGCACTAACACTTTCTATCTTGTAGAGGTCGTTGCAGACAACCCGACTGCCAAACGAGATAACGAGGAGAGGACTGGTAGCATTTGGTCATCTCTACCGGATGCATGGAAGGTACTGCACATAGATGAATGGATTCGGGAGCAACTAAATCTGGAAGGTGCTCTCGGGTATGGCGGGATCGAAAAACAGACGGGGAAGCTGATCATTCATAAGAATCCTGTTCCTTGGCCCCGCGGGTCCCGAACACGTGGTCACCCCATTGGCAGAGATCAGGTGGTCAACATTCTACCACAATCTGGACGAGTTCAAAAGCGTATCGAACTTCTCCACGCTCTTCGACGCTACTCTGCTGACAAGAGCTACGCGGACAAGATGCAAAGCAGGTTACTTGCGAAACGCCCAGAATACTCGCCACAAATGGCCATCACGTGGCTAAGATCAGGAGTGAGTCCTGATGAGGTCTACAAAATGATGCCAATTGGAGCGGAGGAGAGTCTGATGGATTACGTCACGACGACTGATGATGTGGACGTCCTCGTTCATGCGCTTTTGCAGTGGGACGCGTACGTTGATCTGTACCGGTATTTTGGTTACGCCTATAGTTTCGAGGCCGAAATGAAGCGGATGGAAAATTACAGAAAGTTTATTTCATCGTACAGGCCACCGCTAAGACCAATGATGGCCTGACCGGTCGTTCAGAACCCGAATCGGTGCTTATCAAACAATAGGCCACATCATGATATGTAGTACCTTGCATAACTTTTTCTATTCCTCAACGAGCTTATTTTCGTAATGTACGTGTTTGGAATTGATGAACAGTGCTCCCATAACAAAGTTACGCTGCTGCAGTTGAGTACAATAAAGACCCTAGATTTTCTCTCTAGGCTTGCAGTGAGCCGGAGAGCAAAGACACCTAAGGGAGCGAAGCGCTTTCATCGTCAAAATGCGATGAAGTCAAATATGTTGACAGTTACTTACGAACGCAACGAAGTACAGTCGCGTTCCATCGAAGTTTGCACAACTCTTCATTCGTACAGGTCGTATCAAAAGGAGCTAACATCTACATGTGCTCGAGGCTGTAGAAGCAGGCGACACTTTACAAATTTGACGACATCGTGATAAAGCCAAGCTGTTGACAGCTGCCAATGATCGTTGTGCTAAACGAGTTATGACCATTGTTACGGTAATCGTGTTGCATACATACGCGAAGACTGCCCTCTCTATCCAAACGACGTCTTACAAGCCACTTAGCCTGCATGATATGAAGTGATAGACTTTAGTATCATGATAGGTACAGACCGACTCTGGCAGGCCCGCAACGTCCTCTCGACCATAGCGGATTCGGACCGATATGAGACGAACAAAATGTCCTCTGCGATTTCTCAGGATTGTTTCTGTCGATATGGGACAGCAGATGTCAATAGTTCTCCAGATCCCCGCTCGGTAGACATTGCCTAGCTGAGGTGGTGCTCATGGCTGTCAGACGCAAGCTCGGTTATGCGTGAAAACGATGCTTAGCCTTCACTTACTTACTCATCAATTGCTTTGTTTACTGTTGTATCTGACGACACTAACGGAAGCATGACGTAGCGCAGGAGGCTATCCTAAAACATCTCACGCAGCTATCGTATTACTTCATATCTCCCAACCTGCCTAAACCAAAGCACAGCCATCACACCCACCATCACAATGTCTCGTATAGCGCTGCTTTTCACGCGTGGATCGAACGTTGTAACTTGAATAGCAATAGCCAGATGCCTGGACGCACAGAAGATTGATCTACCATCTGCAATCTTGCAATGATCTTCACTGCAGCAAAGTCACGAACTTCCTTCATAGTCAGCAGAAGCTGTAGTGTTCACTTTGTCCTCTTGTTCACAACTTTTTGTGGCTTAGACGCGCACTTTACTGTAGCGACGGGATTTATGTAACTACGCTTTTAACCCTGTGCTAAAACACGTCTTGACTCACGCAGGTTTTTGAGTACATCAACGATCCCGCATCTCAGCGGTACGGTCTTGTCTTTTCGTGTGACCTCATAGTCAGGGAATGGAAATGGCAGCAGCAGGAATCAACATAAACCCGACTGGAGTTTGTAATCTCAAGCATCAGCAGACGGCTACAGACCTTTGATGTCCCTTCTGCGTTGAAACCCTTGACCACCATATATGTGTCGTTGTGGCACGTGATGTAATATTCATCTCTAGCTGTATAGCTAGTGCCTCGTGACTCTTCCGTGGCTGAATGCGCTGTGTCAACACTATTTGCTAGTCGCCATCAGTGCCACAGGTGAAGAAGTCTTGACAACCAAGCTGTAACACTTCTTTCTCCCCACTGTGTACGCAATGTGTCCACTAAAGTTACAAAGTAGTCGAATTGGTCGGCAGTCAAATTGAAAATTCAAGTCGCGCTGCCCTTCACGCAACACAGGCGACCATATCCACCTGGCTTATCGTCATTTGGTACAGCACTCTGACAGCTGTGTTCGGCCGAAACGGCGTCATATTCCAAGGTACGTCAAGACTTTATTTTGACTTGAGGTTCACATCGAAGATCATTCCAACAAAATTTGGGGCTGAAGTTCTCAAAGCCACGATTCTTGGGCCTTGTGTGCATTTCTTCACGCATGAGACGTCTTGAAGCCAGCGAAACGATGGCACTGCCACCTACACATTTAGCTGATGACTATCAATCCCACTTGATTGTCATGGATCTGAAGCCCTTGCTATCGCTACATGCCATACTGATGTGTCAATGCGCGATTCCACGACGGACGAAGAGTCTTTTTGAATCCTTTCTGCTGCGATGGGCATTCGCGGTAAGCCGTTGAAGACATTTAGCCACAAAGGTGCTAGGCTTTTGGCAAGCAAATCGCTTTGCAGCTCATTTGCAACGTCCTACGTGTCAGAGAATGTGTCGAAGTCGATAATAAAGTACCACCGACTCATTAGCTTGTCCAATAGCACAATAAATAACCATGTCGTCGCTTTTAGAGAGTAGAAATGAGGCGTTTTAGCCTTGCGAAGTCACCACTCGACATCTCGCGAGTGATCATGTCCGAACTTTATGCCACTCGCAACCAGCACAGCAATCAAACTAGGGCTTTACGAGTCGTCATCAATACTGGTGAATCGTTAGGCAAGTCATGCTTTTTGCGGCGAATGCTGCTAAGCTGCCGGTATGGACAAAACGCGAATCCGCTTTGTTATCCCGATCGCTCACCAAAGGAGGAACATCAAGCCTGCTCTATTTCATCTTGTCGCTGAAATTCTCATAGCACATACGGCCACTGACGGCCTCTGTTGTTTGTGAAGACCTTGTAGCCATCACGAGCCAATTATCTACTTGCTATTGCACATGCATCGAATCAACCCTCTCTTCTCTAAAGCCGTAGCCAATACCTACTCCGTGGTATTGTGATCAAGAAGCGTCCACTTGGAGCGCAGAAAGCACATCCAATGACTACCGTTGCTTTGCCATTCTTACAGTTAACTTTAATGGTAGTTTGTTGAGCAGTTCCTCTCATTGACACAGTTGCTTGAATTTGCCTCGATGTCGTCGGAATCACTTTTGATACTTTCTAAGCTCGGATGTTGTTGACCCGACAAAGGCAGCGATTTGCTTGTAGACTGAACAGTCACATCAACTTATACCTAAACCAAAAAAAAGTGAAATTCGATAGATTGACAATGTCTCTAACCCGGCAATGTATTTTTTTTATAAACGTTCCTCTCTCCAAATCCCACACTATGATGACATCCTCCGTCACCATCAGTTGGGTCTCAACATGGCTTCAAATGGAATAATGGCTACATATTAAAATCGCTTCTACCAGCTAAAAGCATCATTATCGCATTGACTGCTTTTTAGTATGGCAGCTTCGCGTCTCGTGTGTAAACCCTGTAATGTCATCAGTGAAGGGCCTTCATGCTCCAAATGTAACTGGGAGCTTGCTGTCCCCACCGCGTTTGACTGCGCGCAGTTCGGACTAGTTCCTGAGCTGCAAGAACTCGTAAAGCAGGTAAAAGGAAAATACAATATGATGAAACGTTTAAACGGGTTGACAGGGTCCGAGAAATACGTCAACATTTAACGTTTCTATGTATTTTATCTGTTTTTAGACCCCTCGTTTCGACGTCAATGTGCTTGACGATTCGTCAAAAGCCACGCTTTTACATCATGCTACAATAAGTGGCAAAATGGGGGTGCTGGAGTAAGAGCCATTGCATAGAATTCAATCGCTCGTGTCCATACATTTTGCAAGATTGTGACGGTAGCTGTGGGTATCGGATGAAAGGTTTTTGCTTGAAAATGAAACGACGCGATCAAAAGTGACAGTGGACGCTCTAGGAGGATGGGCGCAGACGACGCCGCTCTTTTGGGCAGCTTCTAGCAACCAAATTTATGCCGTTGAACTGCTACTACGACACGGCGCTGATCCAAATTTCAGAGATAAATTGGGCTTTTCGCCGTTTTTAGAGGCGATTCAATGCTGTTATCCAATTACAGCAGCCTATTTAGTGGCCAAGGGCTCAGATACCAACCAACGTGTACAAGGTGAGTGCTGCAACGTGCAGCATAAAGACAGGTGATGATATTGACACTTGCCTTTTTGGCCTTATAACATTGTTTTTTGCTGAAAAAGATGCTCACCAGAAGACAGCTTTGATGCTGCTTTGTCAGTCGCAGCACTTTCATTTGGATGCGTTTCGGATGGTGCTCAGTCTTCAAGCTTCAGTGGGTGCACAGGACGCCGATGGCAACACTGGTTTGCCGTTTACTTTTCATTGCAGGAATTTGTTTTGGGAGTTAAATGTGGGATTTGTTGTGTTTCTAATGCAGCGCTGCATCATGCGGCGGCGAACGGTATCGCCATGGCTGTACGCTTGCTGCTGGATGCGAGAGCTGACACCACTATTTTGAACAAGGAGGGTCTTACGGCTGTTGAAGTTGCTCGTGCGAGACTTGGTCCGACATCATTAGCGCGTCACCTTCTTGTGGAAGACGAACAGCTGCAGCACCTTTCTCGATGGACTTCCATTCCGGTGCGTAGCGTGACACACTACACGATTTCGTACGAGCTAACATGTGGAGTGTGATAGAAACAAACGCTGCTGGACAATTTGTACAAGCTTGCATTTTTCGTGCCATGGCTGGTGTTTCCTCTCGCCTGTTACGTGATCGTAGCCATGAACGGATGGCAAGCCATTATTATGTCACTTTGCAGTCTGTTGGCTATTGCAGTGCTAGTGCTCCGATTGCTAGTGCGCGGCTCTTACGGTGACAAGCGCAAGGCTGCAGCACTCCTGTTCGGGATCAATGTCGCATCGATCGTATACCTCGTTGCGATTTTTCCTCGATTCAGTGGCTACTGCAGCTCCACGTTCTGCGCAGTTGCAGCAGTCTCATTTGCGATGCTTGGTGTGACACTGTACAAAACGTGCACTTCCGACCCGGGTGAAGTGTCCACATTGTACGACGAGAAACTGCATGTAAGTCGATTTGGTTGTCACTCTCACGATCCCAAAACCAGCATAAGTTAATCAGGTCTTGATTTTGTTTGGCTGCTTGCTTTGCTTGGACTTGTAGAACATTCGCTGGCTTGTCGAGTCAAAGCTTCCCAGTGCAACAAAGCTGTGCCTCACATGCTTGCACAAGAGACCGCTACGCGGAAAACATTGTGCTGAGCTGAACATGTGCATTGCCAAGTTTGACCACTATTGTCCGTTCGTAGTAAATGCAATTGGCGCACGCAATCATGCAGTCTTCCTGGGGTTCTTGTTTTCAGCCGTGCTTTCGATCGGGTTGGAACTTGTTGCCTGCTGGCGCTTTGCACGCGCACAGTCTGAGCTTGTGGAAGACTTCACAGTTCAGTGGCAGTGGTGGCGGTGGATCTCGTCGTTGTGGGGTACATTCGTTGGCACAAGCATTACTGCTGCTGTCACCTCCGGACTGACTGACTGGCTTTGGAGCGTTGCGCATTTCCAACCATTGCTGTTTTGCGTCATGTTTCTTGATGTCGTGCAGATTGCGTGGATCGCGTACACGTTATTCTTCCACATCTACTTGATGTGCGCAGCCCTCACGACAAACGAGATCGTGAAGAGTGAGAATCTCAACCGTGTGTATTCTCGTGGAATGTTGAACAACATGGTGGACTTTTTGGGTCTGCCAGGCCACCGGCCAGTGGACTGGCGTCGCGTCTACAGCATCAAGGACTTCGAAAGCCAAGTTGCCATGAGCTCTTCGTCGTCGGGTCAAGTTTGCAAGAATTTATGAACGCATTTTTAGTCGTGGAGTGAGGAAGGATCACCACGTACACACAGAATGAACAAAACCTTGGCAAACTGACGATCGCATGTCTGGCACGCATTATTGATTACTGGATACGCTCGAGACAGCGCAAGCGTGCGCCACGCGAGCGCGAGTTGGCCGCAATTTCTTCAAGTGTTGCCTTGGTAGCTTTTCGCCGCGTAAGACGAAAGCGTTTTTTGCTGAGCATGTTGGCGTTATGGTCGTCTCCGTCATGGCTGCTTTGATCCTTCCACTCATTCTCATCCTCTTCATTCTCGACCGCGTCGATTCTGCCTTGCTTATCCTGGCACGAAAGTAAATCAAGCATTTCAGAACAAGAACCATGAAGCTAAGTTTGTCTAGCAGTTATCTGCGTACCAGCTCACGAAAGAACTTCTTGATTGGGCGATCTTCGAGTGAATGGAACGCAATTGTCACTATTACATCACAACGATCGTAAGTCTTGAACCCAGATTCCTTTGGCTCACTACGACAGTTTCCTACCAAGTCGGCGATTTGGAGCCAAATGGTTTGCAAGGAGCTTCACGCCACTTTCAACATGGTCGAGCTCGTCATTCACATATATCCGCAATGCCTGGAAACAGCGTGTAGCAGGATGAGTGCTTCCAAGCTTGGTAGCCCGCTTGCCCGTCTTCTTTTTTGTCGAGGACTTCCACATATTGGCAATGCGTTCAATGCACTCCCGCAGCTCCTTTGTCGTCGTAAACACTTTGCCTCGTTCCTCGCGTTCGCGCACAATCGCTTTGGCAAATTCCTTGGCCAGCTTCTCCTCGCCGTAACTCCTAAAGAGCTTGGTAAGCTGGACTTCGGACAGCGTATTGACTGCATCAGCTGCTGTCGGACGGTCTTCATCTTGCTGATTAAATCGCATGTCCAATGGTCCGTCTTTCATTACACTAAACCCACGTCGCGCAGCATCAAAGTGGAAACTGTTGGCCCCCAAGTCAACAAGAATGCCGTCCACTTCATCAGGAAACTCGGCACGCTTCAAGTGCGTAGCCAAGTCAGCGTACGATCCCGTGCAGAAGCTCACGCGAGTGTGAAAGTCGGCCAAATTCGCTCGAGCGATGCTCAAAACTTCAGGGTCGCGATCCACGCAGAGCACTTTTGCATCGGGAAACGTCTGTAACATCGCGTGTGTATGACCTCCGAAGCCGGCAGTGCCATCGACGAAGTGAAGAGGTCCAATAGCATTAAAAGTATCCGGAGATAAAGCGGCGATCGACTCCTGAAGTAAAACGGGAACATGTACCGGTAAATGGACGTCATTGGCACTAGATATGGTACGGGCAGAGGCACGCAATGCTATGGATGAGATGGAATGCAATTGTGGAATGGAACGAGCTCCAGATACACGCAACGCAATGGAAAGATGAAGGTGGCGAGTGATGGGCATCATTCGAGCACCAGTCATGCTGAAAGTCTCCGTTATCACTTTCGACAGGGGAGTTAATGATGAGACACTGGGATTGGTGGGTGCAGATGATGGTCGGTCGTCATTCGATCGTTCCAGTCTCCGTTATCGCTTTAGACAGGGGAGCTAAAGAAGACCTCAGTAACCCTCGTCTGCAGTTCAGGTTTACCTGGTCAGGTTTGGCAGTTGTTTGTTTACCTATGCAGTACATGTGTATTTAACTTATTGAATATCCATCGCGGAGCGAGTGACAGGCCCTGCCATCCACTTGGCATAGACCCTTTGACTATCGTGTGCGCTTGATACGATCTCCAGTGCCTCCTCACGAGTCAAGTTGCGCGGCAACTCGTCTTCGCGCCACAGAAATTCACGCGGTTTGCGTCGTGCATTCACTTTGCACGTGAGGTTCTCAAGGACGCGCACGGGGTCAGCGAGCTTTGGACAGAGGCGCATGACGCGCGACTTGCCATCACGTGAGTGCTCGATACGCACGATGTCACTCTCGACCACGAACTCTAGCGCCTGCTTGATGCTCTCACTGCACAAAGCCTCGGCATGGAACAGTTGCTGGCGAAGAAACAACTCTTTTGCCAGAACTTGGACGTGCTGCACAACGTCGCGCTCAGTGTGCTCAGTATTATCATCTTCTCCAGCAGGTAGAAGGCACCAGAGGCCCTGAGCGGTGAGCCACAATGAGTCCATAAAGGACCAGTTCAGCGACAAAACGAAGCTCGTGAGCTTGGAGCGATTCCACTTGTCCATGTCCACTGTCACTTTGCTGGAATATTTGTCGATGCCGTATGCAGCAGCTTCAGTGAGATATTGAGTGACACGAGCTTCGATGTCGATGGCCTCGTGGCGACAGATGTGGCGCAGGAATTGCCAGATCTCTTGTGCTTCCTGCTGCACATCTCGGATGTTTACTTCGCGTAGAGTCGAGTAGCTCTTGTCGCATCTTCTACGCTCGCGCAGTGCAGTGTCTAGAGCACCGAATACGGCCATCTCTGGCAGAAAAATGTGGAGCAAGTGATTGCGGTAAAATCCTAGCTCGAGTGCTCGCACCGGGTACTGTAGTTGTGACAATACAACGCCGTTGGGCTTCGTGTCCACCTTCAAGATTGATAGAGCATGAGCGGCAATGTTTTCGACATCCATGTGAGCTACAGTTGCACCGCGCCGCTCCAGCTCTTCAACAAGCCACAACGTACGGGCTTTCAGCATATTCTTTGTCACAAATGCACGCTTCCACATGAGCAACGCTGACGCAATTGCAGTCGAGGTGATGGTGCCCGAGGTCTGCATACGCTCGGCAACGAGCTCGGACGACTCCTGAAGCGAAGAAGCCTCGGTCAACGGCACCGGCTTGCCGAAACGTACATAAGCGTGACCAAGTCTCAAAAAGAACAGGTCCCACACTGAACGCAACAAGACGATGAGACTCTCCTTCTCCTTGGGTTTGCCCAGTAGCTGATTTACGTATCCATCGACCTCATACACCTTGTCATAGTCTAGCGAGATCGGAACGACGAGTATCGTCTTCTTTGTACTTTCCTGGCTGTCTGTTGCCTCTTCTTCTGACGCAGAGCCCGTCGTGCTCTTCACGTAATCAAGAAACATGGACATAAACCCCAAGCGAGGTTTACACACGCGACCATGGCGCGATCGACTACCCTCAATGAACACTTCTACGGGGTTTCCATCCCGCAACAGCTCGTGCACGTATTGCTCCAGCACCTCCTTGTACAGCTGATCGTCTCGGAACGATCGACGGATAAAAAAACTGCCATTAGCCCGCAGGAAAGAGCCTACTAGAGGCAGATCCAAGTTGTTCCCAGCGGCAATACGTGGCAGTGGGATGCCATACGCGAAGCACAAGTAGCTAATAATCAAGTAGTCCATATGGCTCTTGTGCGTGGGTGCAAACACGACACTAACGTCGCCTTCGAGCGTCTCCAGCACACGACGCACATGGTGGAGGGACTCCAAGTTCACATGAAGCCCGTGAAAGAGCAGACGCCACGTTTTGGTCAATAGCCAGCCCAGACATCGTACAGCCGGCATGACCATGTCCGACTTGAGACAGTTAAAAATCCGCATGACTCGATCACAGTCGACATATAGTGAGCTCCGTGCCGTCCTGTTTATCTGCCATTGTATCCTTCACTCGCTGAATCAAATGTTGGTAATGCGTCTGCACAGACGATGGCGGGCGTCCCAAAAAGTTCACACTCACGCCAGCTCGACAGCTAAAAAGCAAGTCCACTACTGCCAATCGCACGTCAGCCAATTGCAAAACCCATTTCCACCTCCACTGCAACTTGCTTGACTTCTCTGTAGCACTTGAACCAGTTGTTGCAGCACATCGCTGTGCAATCGAGGCCAGCAACCACGACGTGTCCATCATATTCACAAACCCAAGCTGTCGTCCATCCCTTTCAAGCTTGTTATTGCAATCCAAAGGCATGAATTGCACTGGATGATCCGGAATCGTAGTATCCAGCAGGTGCTCATTTTGGACCAATAGCGTCTGCTCTCTAGGTAGCAAGAGCTCCAGGAGCTCGTCCGTCTCTTGTGTTTGTCCGATATGTACTTTGTCATATCTTTTGTTCCAGTCCTTTGTCTGGTACAGGTCGTTATGACTCCATGTTTCAACGGGACACTTGGACTCGGACAGATAAAACAAGGTCCCTCTCGACGGCTGCTTCAATGGCGCGGCAGCCGTGCTACTGTCCATGTCCCGCTTCTTCTCTTCTTCCTCCAACGGTCTCGTCTGCATCGTTACAGCAAGAGCCAGTGCGACACTCGACGCTTTGACTTCCCGGTCGTCCACCTCCACTCGTGCGTCCCCCTTATTCAGCAACCCACGGACCTTTTCCTGGTACTTTTGGTACCGCAGCTGCAGGCGTCGCAATCGAGCGCCCTCTTTGGCCACGAGCAATGGGTACAGAGACAGCGGCAACTGCCGTGGCGGGGAGAAAGGCGCGTGCACGGGCCAGTCCTCGAGACGGGAGGGATGGGAGAGGGGCGTCTTCTTCTTGATGGGCTTGAGCATAGCGTCCAATGAGACGACGGAAAAACGGTCGTGGGGTTCGGGCTACTGATCGCGTTATGACGACGGTGGTTGTGATGAGACGTAAGTGGATATGATACCGTCTGTATTTGAAAGATCAGGTGGTGGGTGCGATCGAGACGAGAGGAGGTGATTGGTCGAATAGTTTTGGGCTTTTTTATAAAATGAGCTCTTTGAAATGACGAGTCACGTGATATGTCGCCGATATGTCGCTCTTTCGGAGGTCACACTTGTGCTCGTCTTGTCTCGGTTCTAATTTAGACTCTTCTAAATTACGTTGATCTAAATCAGCGGATCAAGAGCATGCAATAGCCGCGATTTCCTGAGTGCTGCTGGGGCAGGACATCCCACGACCGTTTTGTTGTTGCGTCATACGCTGCCTGTAGCCCTCGATTCACTTGCACTACTAATCGGCTCCAATTGCACGCCGCCATGTCGCGTCTACTGCATCTTCTTGCAGCCTCTTGTTTACCGTTAGCCTCAGGTTCAACCTGCTTGTCGTGTGACGTGCCGAATGCCAAGTCACTGCGCTTCTGCTCCGCTTTTGTCACGTTTTCCGCCTGTCGTCGCGGAGGGTCGTGGCAAGACATGGTGATGAAACCATGTTCTAAAACTAGAATACTTAAATGTGATAATACCGGTATGCTTGTCAAACTGACGCATCGATTTGTCCAACATGTTGTTCTTATTTTGTGATGTGAGTTAGGATGTAACTGCCCAGGAACAGTATGACGAGGTGATCAAGAGCAGCGTCTTCTCGACAGAAGTTGATAAAACTTGTGCAACAACGTTGAAACAACTTCAGTGCCTTGGAGTCTTTGGTGTCTGTGAGATGGGAACACCCGAGACTTTGTGTCAGGGGAGCTGCAGAAGTGCTGTTGAAACGGACTGCTCATCGACGGTATCAAAGTCGATGCTGCCAAAGGTTCAGCTGGCAGTTTGTGGAGATGAAAAGGATTCACTGGAAGGTGTAAGCAACGATGGAAAGTGCTTTACTACAAAGTATGACGGACCGGAAAAAGACATTTGGATCATTGGCTTCATCATTGCAGTGATTTTTTCCTTCTTGGCAAGTGTCGGGATCAACTTGCAGAAGAAGGCACTGAAACAGAACGAGCTAGCAGCGATGCCGAAACCACCGTATCGACTGCCGTTGTGGCTGTTTGGGTTCATGCTTTGTCTGGTAGGATCCATCTTGGACTTTGTGGCGTTTGGTCTGGCACCGCAGAGTCTACTGGCTCCACTGGCGGCGTTGACACTCGTGTGGAACATGATGCTTGCGCCGTGTTTTAACAAGGAGAAACTCAGCAGAAAGGATTTGGTTTCGACGCTGGTGATTTTTGTAGGTGCTACCATCGCCGTGGTCTTTGCGTCCCATTCGTCACCGTCGTACAACTTGGACATGTTGATGCAGCTTTACAGGGACCCACTTACAATCGTCTACTTCTGCGTGGTTTTCCTAGTGCTTGCTATCCACTTTGCTACTGTCAAGATTGTGGATAGACTGAGCTTACTAAGCAACCAGCACCGGATCATTCGAGTTGGCTCGCCAGCCGTATGGGCGACATTACGCCTCATGGGTTATGCTGGTCTTGCGGGTACGCTAGGAGGTCAATCTATATTGTTTGCCAAGTCGTCAGCTGAGCTACTCAAAGGCGTGTTCAAAGGAGATACCAGCTGTTTCGTGCGCTACCAAACCTACATCATTGTGCTGGCACTGGTGATTTGTTTGTGCCTTCAGATCAAGTATCTGAATGATGGACTTGTTCACTACGACGCGCTGTCGATGGTTCCTATTTACCAAGCGTATTGGATCATTAGCGGTGTCTTGGGCGGCGTTATCTACTTTCAAGAAATTCGCACCTTCTCAGTGTTGCAAGTAGTCATGTTTGTGCTGGGAATCTGCATCAGCATTTTCGGTGTTGTTCTCCTCTCACGTCGCAAGCATGCTCCATCCATTGTATCCAGTCAACGCAACGAAGAGCAAGGATCCAGCTTCACTTCATCGTCGGCGTGGCAGTCAATCGTCTCTGCAAGCTCAGATATTTGCTTGGCACACAACTCAGAAAGCGTATCGAAAAATGCTCTTGTTGTGGAGAAACCAGCATCGCGTTGTGTAAAGACTTCCCGGCAGTCTCTTTCCACTGTTATCAATGCTCCTGATGGACGAGCTACAATTGCAGACTTTGACGGTGGTGGCAATGACCAAGACCAACCTAGTCACGATGAAACGTCAGAGCACGTCAATCGACAAGCGATTGACAATTATCTGAACTTGTCCACGACCGTAGGTCTGTCGGAAATTCTAAGTGGTCTGGGCTTTTCGCGCTCGCACAACGGCGACTTGGGCAGCTGGAGCGATTCGACTCGGTGCGTATATGTCTGGGGTATTTGCAGTGGGTTCATCAGCTCATTTGCAATCTTTTTGTTATTGATTTGACAGTCCCGTACGACTGTGCGCTCGTCGAAGCGTGGATGACATCGAAGTTGGGTTACCAGCTGCTTCTCGTCCAGCCGTTTCACAGAGTTGGCGCCATTCGATTACGCTGTCCGGTTCCAGCTCGGCCTCGACTGAGAACGAGAAGGTCAGGGAGATTTTGCCGTCCAAGGGTGTGATGTAATCCGCGGCTCTTGTGCCAGTTACTTGGATTGCTTCACCAATGCATTGTAGTTTCTTTGAGCAGTTCAAGACTTCGACCAAGATCGCTCTCGCCAAGTCACAAAGAGACAGGATATCGGATTAAGGTGCTATCCTGTCTCTCTGTACTCTGCGTGGCACCACGAAAGGAAAACAGCAGTTTGCAAAACATCATGACCACTAGAGCCCATGTTTCCAGTGCGATAATCGCCTCGACAGAAACTTTCAGCTTGCTGGTATTGTTAGTACAGTGCTTTTCGTGGCGCTTTCTCCATCGTTTCAAGTAGCAGCTGTGCAGCTCAAAAAAAAAGGCGATGGTTAATGATGACAGCAGTCAACGTTAATCAGGAACACACAGCGACTCACGTCTTGTATGTGCACACTACTGCAACATCCATCTTCGTATCAGAATCTTCTCAACAAATCAATGAAATTTGCACAAATTACAAATGGCTAACTGGCTGCATAAAAAGGAGCCTCTGGAGGTGACTAACTACACGTCGATCAGACCTGTTCCTAACTTTTCGAAAGAAAAGTGGCGCATAAGTAACGCCTTGTGGCAGCGTCTCAGCCTTGTCACACCGGTCTTTAAATACCTTTCGGCCAATACGAACGAACGTCGAGCTATTCTTAGCCAATCCCGTCTCTCACGTACCATCCAAACAGGACTCATCAGCAGCAACAACACATCATTTTCGCGATTCGAATCCTTTATTTAAGAATAATCCCCATGGGATCCGCAGGCGGCGAGCGTCAGTGTCTTCTCCCGTCGTACTCTCCTGTCGTCCATACCCGTTTTCCTGGACAAGAATCGGCTACATCATGGCCGTCGACTTTCGAAGAAGGACTGGAGGCTCGGTAGGATAGAACCAACCCTATCATGTTATTTTTTGCTCACTTATAGTATCAAATATTTAACCTGAACATTTTTCACCTCTCTTTTTATGGTAAAAATATGTTGCAATGCTTATAAAAATGCAGGATGGCATCGCCCATGTCCATGACCTTAACACCTCGGTACGCTCTAGGGCCTTTGAGTACCAGTCCGTACAATGAGAGACAGAGATTTCTCCAGCAACAGCAGCAGCGAGAAGGTCTTTGGTCGCCAGCCAATAGCAGCGAAACTGTAATTGCTGTACAAGGCACGAGCAGCTTTAAAGATGCTGTATTCAATGCTATCAACGTGCTCTTGGGTGTTGGCGTGCTCTCGAGCCCCTTCTCACTACGGTCCAGTGGCTGGCTCATTGGCATGCCGCTCTTTCTCTTTTTTACGCTCGTGACGAACCACACGGCAAAATTATTAGGCAAGTGTCTCGACTACCAAGAAGGTATGACGACGTACCCGGACATTGGAGAAGCGGCGTTTGGCACAAAAGGACGCGTGATCATCGGTATCACGTTCTTTGCTGAGCTTTTCACGGCTTGTGCCATGTTTTACGTGCTCAGTACGTCAAGTTTGGATATCATGATATGATGTGGATATCCAAGCAGAAATAAAAGACTAAGATCTGTCGTGCTTGTTGTGCAGTTGGTGACACGTTGGCAGCCTTGATTTCGTCCGTCACGGAGATACAGGTGACGATCATGGCGTTCTTGCTCATTATGCCGTCTATGTGGACAACGCACATGTCCATGTTGTCGTATTTCAGCATTTTAGGCATTTTCTCGTCGTTCTTCTGTCTCTACGCCATTTTCCATGTCGGTCTGACGATTGACACTGAAGTTCCTGGATATGAAACAGGCAGTTTGCTCCATCCACAGCCTGTGCAGGCAATTGGTGATTTGGATCGTATTCCGCTGGCGATTGGACTCACTATGGTCGCGTTCGGTGGCCACTCGGTGTTTCCGTCCATTTGCAGCTCCATGGCGAATAAAGATGACTATCCACGAATGCTCAACCTCTCGTACGTGATTGTGGGACTTGTGTACGCCGCGATTGAGCTGGCTGGCTACCTCATGTATGGCCTCGCTACTCAGAAAGAGATCACGCTGAACCTGATTGCAACGTATCCGGGTGTACTCACACAAATGGTGGTCTGGACGATCGCGCTCAATCCAATGAGCAAAATCGCGATCACGCTTCATCCAATTGCGCTCGCGCTCGAAGAGTTTCTGCTGTCTCCGAGCCAGAAGCGTGCTGCTGCAAGGAACCAACCAGGCAAGACGCTGGTGTTTTATCGGGCATTTATCCGGACAACACTTGGAATGGGTGCGTTGTGCTGTGCGCTATTTGTGCCCCACTTTGCCCGCGTGACGTCATTTCTCGGTGCTTTTTTCGCGATGCTGGTCTCGGTGTTTTTGCCGTGCATTTGCTACCTGAAGCTCTTTGCTCACCGCTTGTCCAAGGCTGAGATTGTGTTCCATGCAGGACTGGCTGGACTCTCGATCATTTTGATATTTTTCGGTACCCTCGCATCGTTCTTGTCTCCTGCAGATTAGAAGGAATAAGCAACCCGAACGATAGCAATTCCGAAAAGTAGATGAGACCAAGAAGCTAGTGCGATGGCATCCTAATGCAACGGTAGGTTTACTACATTTTCCTACGCTGACGATAGACTATCTTGATTGAATTAATTTAGCTCGCAGATGACCAATAGCGAGCTATATTGAGGTCGAATGATCAGCGGAGCTCGTCGCTATTTCTGAGATCTCGTACAACTACGTAGACGAATGTACGACGTTAAGTCCAGTTCTGGTTGGAGGTCTATCACTGTCTGATAGATACAGTGCAACTTTATAAACCACGTTTTCGTAACCTCAATGGTCCTTCAGGACAAGCAGCGTAATATTCGTGTAGGAAGCACCCCTCTGCAAAGTGACGGTAGACGGACAATTTCAAGTTAAATGCTTGGTAATGCGTCGTCGAGCGCAACTATCGCAGTGCTGTGAGGATTCAATGGCAAACCAATGAGCAGTCTTTGATCATCTATCAAAGTTGTATGCTTGACAAACCAATTGACGGCAGAGTTCATATTGTTCCTGCTATCTTGGATTCTGATGCACATTGTGTAATTGCATGAACAGCAGCGTCGGTAAGGTCGCTATCTTCCACGATTCACCTTGTCAATCCCTTTTTCTTGTGCTGCGATGAGAAGCGATGGATGGAAAAGTTACACGGCTAAACACTCGACTGGATCTGACGGATACTGTTTGACGCGCTCACGCTAATTTCCAGTCAATGCATATCATTTGCACTATCGACAAATGGGGGTCAACAGGCGATTGAACAGTGTTCGGCGGTCGATACTTGGTGACGAAGTAGAATCAACGACATTCTTGTAAAAACGACGGCTGCTTGACCCCTGAACTGCTCTATTGCGACGTATACACGGCTGCATGAAACCGTATACAGTACGCTATAATACCGCTCTGCCCCACAATGGATACTTAACCAAATCCGCCTCGCTTAGCTTCATCTATCACGGAAGTAAATAGAGTAATCGAGTATTTGAGCCAGTCAGTCAGTCTCACGCGAAAAATGACTCGTCCTCCGAACATCCTCGTAACCGGTACCCCCGGCACAGGCAAGACCTCCATGTGCCAGCAGCTTGCAGTGCGTAACCCCGTTCAGATACAAGAAAACCAGTCTCCCGCTTTCAATAAAATGCGCACTTTTGCTCACATCATTGTACCCATTTGCATGGCTGCCACCTAAACTTCCACAGGAACGATCCCGGCTCTTGTCACACGTAAATGTCGGCGACTTGGTACACTTTTTTCTTATTTTTTTCCCTCTGCAAATTAAATTGTAAATACTGTAACTTTGTATAGCAGCAGTAACTGACATGACTCTGTATTATCTGGTAGGTAAAAGAGCGTGGCCTTCACAGCGGTCGCGATGAAGAATTTGATTGTTTTGTGCTGGACGAGGACAAAATTGTCGATGAAATGGAAGAGCTGATGGCTGAAGGCGGCAAGGTCGTGGACTTTCACACGTGCGACTTTTTTCCCGAGCGCTGGTTCGACCTGGTTGTGGTGCTACGTGTGGACAACACGACGCTGTTTGATCGACTGCAGAAGCGCGGGTACTCGGACAAGAAAGTGGCTGAAAACGTCGAGTGCGAGATCATGGAGGTGGTGATGCAAGAAGCTCGTGAGAGTTATGCACCAGAGATTGTGCAAGAGCTGACGAGTCGGACGGTGGAAGAGATGGAGGGCAATATTGAGCGCGTGCTCATGTGGATGCAGCATTGGACCGCGCAGCACGCCGACCATTAGGATGTACAAGAGCGAGAGGAATGGAATGTGGAAAGCACAGTGTGATTTGTCATGAGATGGAGACGTTGTTGAGGATGCTACTCCTGGCTTCGTCGTCGATTGAAAATGTGCTGCAACGAGCAACTGCGTTTCAACAAAACACGCGTACGATTGCAGAAAGCATGAAGATCACTGGAGGGAAAGTCAATGTGTTTGGCAAGCACTTGTTTCCGTGTAAAAAACGCTCATGTTTGTAAAACTATCTCGTGATTATGACGACTATCAGCTGAGTAAATGAGTGGAGTGTTCAGCATTTATTTGGTTGTTGTACTGCGCTGACCCGGTCGTTGGTGTAAAAGTGTACCGTGGTGAACACTACAATGCTATTCGATGTCGCATCCAGCCTGTGCAAAGACGATTCTTGCCACAGTTGAACTTCACGGGTTTGTGAGACGTCTGAACTCGAAACGAGGATGGTAGAAGGAGTACCCGCAGAAATCGCATCAGGCCTGTTGCTATTCATTTCTGTTGCACATTTGATCATACTTTTTCAGTCCAACGACAGGAAGCTCACAGCTGCAGTAGATGCAAGTTTAACATGGGTATCTTTCTAGCATAAGTAGCACAATCACTAGCCGATTATGAGTTTTTTCACGGCCAGAGTTCACTGCATTACCGGGTAAGATCGAGCTTCAAGAGACGGCTTTCAGGTTCGATCAAGTCTTTGGTACATTGATCGCTTCGATCAATGCAATCGCATTTCGTTCAACACTCTACCAACTGTAGAAGGAAGAGGTGATCACCAGAACAGCACGAAGGTAAAAGAGATATCTAGCATATTCACAACAGCTTCATCCCCTTCTATCTCTAGCGACGTCATGACGAACGCCACCCGATTTCCACCACGTGAAACATCCTTCGTCTCAAGTTGCAACAATGACAGCTTGAAAGCCACGCCCAACCCGGCTCTACCATGAGATATCCTTTCCAGCTGACGCAGGCGTCTCTTCCTTCGTCGAGCAACCACCGCCGCTGCCGCAGCTGCCCTTATCGGCTGCAGGGTCCTGCACTGCCACACGGAAAAGACGGTTGCCAAACTTCTTGTACAGCGGCATAATGCCTCCTCCAGCAAGCAGGCGCTCCTCGAACAGCGACATGTTAAACCGGAAAGTCTCGCCTCCTACCTCAATCGTGCGTCCAGTCATGTTGACCGTAATGTCTGCGTTTTCCTTCGCCAGCTCATAGAAACGGTCGTCGTCTAGCTGAATGCCCAGCAGACTGAAGTTCTGGTAATTGCGCGAAAAGATGTAGCCAAACGAACGAGCAATCACTGCTTTCACGCCAGCACCCTTAATAGCAGTCACAGCCTGCTCTCGCGAAGAACCACAGCCAAAGCCGTGACCACCAACAATCACGTCCTGGCCCTGCTTCACCTTGTCACGGAAGTCTGGGTTCGTGTACAGAAACGCAACCTTACCCAGAGTCTTTATGTCGTTCTCGCACAAGAACTCACCCGGAAGAATGGCATCCGTATCGATGTTGTCACCGAATACCTGCACACGACCCTTGATGGAGCCTGAAAACGTCTCCAAAGCAGCAGCTGCCGCAGCATCGGCGTTATCACCCGCTTCAGACGTAGCCACAGGCAGCTCTGGCTTTACTTCGGCAATGGTGATAGGCACGGCAGGTCGCTTAGGCACCGCAGAGTCAAACTTCTCATTGTCAATCAACTTGAGGAATGGAGTAGGGTCCGTCACTTCCATTGTGAAACTGGAAGCAGCAACCGTGATAGCCGACGCAAGGTTGGCAATCGATCCCTTGCCCATGCGGTTGCGGTAGTTACGGTTCTGACTACTAAGCCACACTTCGTTCTCACCAGCCACATCAGCAGCAATACCGAGACAGAAACTGCATCCCGGGGCACCAACCGTGAACCCAGCCTTCTCGTACACTTCAATCAAGCCGTGCTTCTTCAGGTTGTCCACGATAATCTGGCTACCAGGCGTCACACGACGCTGACCCTGAGCAACAGGCTTCATGCCTTGCTTAAGACAGACTTCGAGCACCAGTGCACCCAGCACTAGATCCTCTTCCGCCGTGGTACACGCGCCAATGAAACATCCATCAAGTTTCATGCCCACGACTGCCGACACGGGCTTGACATTGTCAGGAGACGGGAACAGAGCCACCTGTGGCTCGAGGTTGTCCAAATTAATCTGGAACTTCTCCACATAGTGTGCATCTTTGTCAGCACGGAAGTAGAGAGCGTCTTGGTTGTGGTCCGGGCGCTTGGAAATGTACGCGGCCGTGCTCTCGTCAGCAGGGAAGACACCAGCAATACCACCAAACTCAGCCGTCATGTTACTGATAGCAAAGCGCGCATCACAAGACAGCGCAGCAATGTTGCCACCCCACTCGACACAGCGGCCAATGGCCACAGTGTTGCACTTGAGCTGGCCCAAAGTATACAGCATCACGTCTTTGCCTCCCATGCCCATGGGCGGCGTGCCAACAAACTCAATGAGGACCGTCTCCGGTACTTTGATCCACGTCTCACCCGTCACAAGAGGCATGACGACGTCTGCGGCGCCCAATCCAATGGCAAAGGCTCCCAGACCTCCCGTACTGCACGAGTGCGAGTCAGCACCAACAACAATCTGGCCTGGCTGGGCCCGTTGACGGTAGAACTCCGTGTGCAAGATGGTCGTGTTCGGAGGCTGGTAGTTCGTGAGCTCCGCCTCCTTGGCAAAGTCCTCGGACGCCTTGATCATCATTTGCTGCTGCGGTTTGTGGTTCACACGTGGATCCACCGTGTGGTCCACTGCCAGCCAGAAGCGGTCGTTGCGCCAAATACGCGGTCGCCCCATGTCCTGGTACGTCTTGTCCATGGACTTCCACGTGATCTCGCACGCGAGCGTCCACTGCGCCTTGACGCAGAGCATCTGACCCGGGGAGACTTCGGGTTTCGAGAGACCGACGGCCCAGTGCGTCAAGATCTTCTCGGGGAGCGTGAGGGGTCGAGTGGAAGACGAGGAGGAGGGAGACGCCATTGGTGGTCTGCGGGGCTGGAACTGTGGCTGCAAGTGTGACGTGCGTATCAAGTGGCAAATGCAAAAGTGAGACTTTCGGAGGGATCCGAGTCTAGAAAGTCAATGGACGAGCGAGTGTGACGAACGTGGTTTTGTAGATGCGCTTTCTAGGATGGGCAGTCCGTATAAGAGGACAAGAAGAGTGGTTTGTAGGCAATCGACCTCGACGACGACCTCGAGTCGGCATTAAATCTCACAGGGGGTTGACGTGGCTCGCGAATTGCGCAAACGGCGAGCCACGTATACATGTATACACCCAAGGTCAGGTGTCGACTTTATTGTGCGCCGTAATCATTGACGTATACCTAATCCTCACCCAATTTCCTATCGATCTAATCCCGTTCTGACGCGCCGCCGTGTCGTCCGTCCCGTCAACGTTTTACAGCCAATCATTTGTCATGACCCCCCTCCTCTTCCATCGAGCGTCCTCCTCCTCCGTCGTCCGGCACCACCGCCGCCTCTCTCGCTACTTTTCATCAACTTCTGCCTCTCGGTCGACGTTTGGTGTCGTCTTTGACGTCGATGGAGTGCTCGTGCGCGGCAAGACGCCGGTTCCTGGCGCCTGCGACGTGCTCCTCGAGCTTCAATCGACCAATACGCCGTTCGCAATTATGACCAATGGCGGCGGATCTCGAGAACAGAAAAAGGCCCAGCACCTTGAACAGCTCCTGGGTCAAAATGTAGCCATTGCTTCACGTCGCATGTGTATGAGTCACACGCCGATGCAGAGCCTCGTGGCCAAACACGGTCATGAACTCGTGCTTGCAGTAGGCAAAGACTGCCGTGAAATGCGACATGTTATGCAGGACTATGGGTTCCAGCACGTGATCACGGTCGACCAATTGCATCGGCACTTTCCATTGATGTACCCGGATGTTGCTGTTCTAGAGCCATTAGAGGCCAATGGACGGTTTGATATGCAGCCATTTGCAGCGGTGTTTGTGCTCATTGATCCTATTTATTGGGGACGCGAGCTGCAGATTGTCATGGACGTCTTGTGCTCGCCCGATGGGTTTTTGAGACATCAGCCACCAATAGTGGGTACTACGAAGGCTGTTGATGGGGGAAGTGGTGGGGGAAATAAAGGTCGTGGGGAACGCCAACACATTCCGCTCTACTCGGCGTGCTCGGACTTTCAATATGTAGGTGACTTTCATCTCCCACGATATGGTGCGGGGGCTTTCCATGCTGTTTTGGAAGATCTCTTTACCCGCACGACAGGGCACAAGCTCGAGAAGACGCTGTTCGGTAAGCCGCAGCGCACGTCATTTGAGTTCGCTGAGACGCTCATTGATGCACAGCATGATCGTGTAGAACGGATTTACATGATTGGAGATAATCCAAAGACGGACATCCGCGGAGCCAATGAAGTTGGCGGTAGGTGGAAGTCTGTGCTGACACTCACGGGCATGCACGCTGGGCCGGAGAATGACGATGAACATCCGGCATACGAAGTGGTGGATGACGTTGTGCAAGCACTGGCGTTTATCAAACGAGACTTTGCAAGATACCAGCGAGAAAAGTCGGGCGAGTGAACGAGTGGACTGCAAGCTCGACAGCGTCGATCCGCTGTTTGATTACGATCCTGGCTGCTGATATGTCGTGTGGATTGAACCAGGTGACGCTGACTAGCTAACGTAACACACGGTACATCGAGCCTTAGTAGGAAGAGACCTTCGGCGATGATGTCTACAAGAATCGATGCGAAGGTTATTGAATGCAAACGATTCCTGAAACTGTTGCCATTTGCAGTGTATCCAAGTGTTTTTTGCAAACGAAGGCTACAGCTTTGTTAGCATCTGCGAATGGACAAGTACGTACCGCAATATCTGCCGCGCGCCAGGTCCGCCCTTTCCGAGGGAGAATGAACTGAACGACTGAGTTAGCCGAGCGTTGCAAGCTGTTGCTATGATGGCAGAGTGGTAAAAGGTTGAATGCTGCAAGGTATACCTACCTCTTTCATCATAGAACGAGATCCGCTACCTCGTCAGTAATAAATATGATTTCGCACGGATACGTTGTCCGACGACGAGCCCACCTACTAGAAGTGCATCTCCAGAAGATTGTAAGTATCTTGCCAAAGTCTCTTCTTTGACATTCATCGCTGGTCCAACGCATCATCGCCATCGTAAGGTCCATCAACATTGACGACGCATATGTGTAATAATGTCAACAAATGCCAGATTTGTGACGCTTCGCAGCATGGGGTGTCCAAGACGATAAATTGCTGTGCATTTGTGAGCTACCCCACTGCGTGTGCAGTAGCAGCTACAGGAGCTCAACGATGCGTGTCCGGATAGCTTAAGCTGGAAAAAAACTAGTCCCGTTTGCACAAATCGACGGCAGCTCAGAAGATAAAATCGCCGAAGTTGGTGGACTTAACAAAGGCAATATGGTGTTCGGCCAGCACTAGTTGCAGTTTTTGTGTGGTGACGTACGCGTACGATGAGAAGGTAGGTAAAGATCGCTTACTGTTTGCAAAGTGAGTCTGATTCAGAAAGCAGACATGTGACATTTTAGCAGCAAGAAATGATGTGATCTCATGACTACCGTGGGCCATCGACAGCAGGTGCTCCCTCTAATGATCATCTGGTATTTCGCACCAGCAAATTTAGCTTACCTAACAAAGTTTGCAGCCTGACACAAGAGCACATTTCATGTGTAACAGACACACTTTCTTTCTCTTTGTATTGTACTGGAGAACAGCGAGCGCGCTGAAATGTTGCATTAAGCGAATCAAATGTCCTTATGGCTACTGTTAATTTTGGTAAACATATGGATGCATTTGCTGTGGCAAAAAACATTCTTCGTCCAGAACAATAACTACAGTTATAACAGCTGATAATGGTGGAACAATTACCTTAAACAATTGTATGATCACGTGAGTGTTGATAAGGAGACGCTTTGGCATGACTTTTCAGAAAAGTGTTCTGTAGCTCAGCCGGTATGGTACCTGGCTGAGCTACAGAACAAAGGTCACTGTTCGATACTGGTGGGGGCGTGCAAACAAAAAGTCAAGCCTTTGGGATCTGATGTTTGGGGTTCATCTGCACTGTTCTGCCAGACAGTGACGCCATTCACTCTCAGTACGTTTGGGTGATTGAAAACGCACGACAAGAATTAGAAACATACGACTAGACGATCAGTAATGCGCGATATGGCGATTACTAATGCGCGATGTGGCGATTGCTAATGCGCGACTAGGCGATTGGTAATGCGCGATATAGCGATTACGAACGTGTAGTCGAAGAATCCAGTAGGCTTGGAGTAGCAACTGAGTTTGTGAACTAAGGACCTAAATATATTCACATTGCATTTTGCTAACTTCATCTAGCATCGATCACTTCCTTTAGGTTATGAGCCCAAGCTCCGCTGACTCTGGCCGAGACTTCGACCACGCTTTCTCGATGGACTCTGCTCCAATTACTTGAGCTCGCTAAACAAGTTCTTCGGAACGAACTTTCACACATGGAAGTTCAAGATGCAGATGGTGCTGGAGGGGCGAGATCTAGGGGACGCCGTGAGCGGCGAGGTCAAGCTCGAGGATTGCATCAGTGTTTTGGCCCAAGCAACGTTCAAGCGGAAGTCGCGAAAGACTCTAGCTATCATCTGTCTTGCAATGGAGGATTTGCAGTTGCCACTGGTTCGCTCGGCGAAGGACGTGGATGACGCATGGTCACGTCTGGAAGGACTCCAGGAGAAAAAATGTTGGAAGACGATGCTGCAGCGAAGTTTCTGGGACTCGCTGAAGACGTTACCGGACTCGCAAGGGGTTTCGAAACGTCTTCCATTGTGATGGTCACGGCGCGGTGGTAACGGCGAAAGATAAAACGGCTCAAGGTCGAGAGGTTTCAAGGAGTGTGAGGTGCAAGTAACGCAAAATGGACAGGTAAGTCTGATAAGAAGAGAGTTAAGGCTTACATGCACAATATATTCACTTTGTCTTTTGCTATACAAGAACTCATGGAATTTCAACCCGACGTCAAGGACCAAAAAGGAAATCTTGGCCAATAAGCTCTTCCTTCGTCGCCGCTTCTTCACGACAATGATGGGAGAAGGTGATGGCGTGCTTGAGCACATCAACAGACTCAAGACTCTGGCGGAGCAGCTCGACGCAGTTGATGCTCCTGTCAGAGAGGAAGACTTGATCATCACGTTTCTAGCCAGTGTAACGGGGTGAATCGTTACATAACAATTTATAAGAAATTGTTAATAGAATATAACTATAAGAGTTATATTCTCAGAATATTGTCATAAGGACAATATTCTGTAGCACTTACGAGTAGTTCCTAATTGGTTGATATAGGCCATTATATCAACCAACGAAGACGCGCCACGACAGACGCACGCAATGAGTGGTGAGCAGATAACTGATTTACACATTTGTATTTAGACATAGTTAGATGAAGATAAATAGTGATTTATTGCAGACATTAACTATTATAAATACAGTTCTACTTTTTACTCTAACCGAGTACTCGCTTCTTCTTACCGTCTTCCCTCTGCACGTACGAGTGTACGTGAAGTTACGAGGCACCGCCTTATTCTGTTATCAGAATAAGTAGCTTGTACTGTCACCAGTACAAGCTTCAGGGTGCCCCGTTACACCTGGTAGCACTTCGTAGTCCGTCCAAGGACCGCGTTCACATCCAACATGAATATGTTGGATGATGAAGATGACCAAAGCTTTCACGCTACGCGTGACGGCTACTCCCATTTGAGCGATGTCGAATGGGATGCGGTTGAACGAATGGGTTCGACCATGGGCATCCATGCTGTTAGCGTCATGCTAGAGGCTCTCAATAGAGACGCCCAACATGCTACTATCGCCAAGTTCATCCAAAATGAACTTGACGCTGAACGCGAGAAAGTAGCCTTGCTTCACCAACAAGGTTCTCAACAAGCAGAGTTGTTGAGAGAACAAGGTGCTCAACAGTTTGAACTGTTGAGACAGCAGCAGGCTGCTGCTGGCGGGTCGATGCACTCGCGTCGGCCCGAGACTTTGAAGATTGACATCTCAAAGTATAGGAGGGGTCGAAGAAGACTCCCTCTTGAGATGGTTCGTCGAATTGGATGACGCCATAAGGGCGCGTCGCATCGACGACGGGGATATGCAAGTTGCATTTGCCCAATCAAATCTGGCAGGACGTGCCAAGACTTGGGCACTGGGGCTCAAGCTGCACGACCCATATGCGTTTGGGTCGTTGGAAGTCTTCAAGTCGCGGCTCAGACAAACGTTTGAACCGCCTAGAGCTGAGTTCAGAGCTCGAACCGAACTCTTGAAGCTCAAGCAGGGTAAGCGTGATGTGCACGCTTACGCGCAACATATGCGACATCTCACGAGTTGTATAAGTTCCAATCCGGTGGATGAACACACGTTGGTTTCGGTGTTCATGCAGGGTCTTGCGGATGGTCCCGTCAAGACTCACCTGTTCCGGCTTGAACTAGATTCACTAGAACAAGCCATTTCCATTGCGGAGCAGGAAGACTTCAGTCTGAGACAGGCTCGCGCCAGCTCGACATCATATCGTCAACCGAGACGATATGACAACGGAGGTCCAGAGCCGATGGAACTCTGTTATGTAGAGAGCGAGAAGGCTCGCTCTACAGACTACAAGAAGTTGCAGAAATGCAACAGATGTCAAAAGACAGGACACTACGCTTACGATTGTAGTGCCCCTCGTCCAGTGTCTCGCAACACTGGGCGTAGTGACCGTCCACCCATGAGAAAGGGGCAGGGACGCGGGTCCGCTGTTGGTGCAAAGACGCAACAACGGGATGGACCGTCAAAAAACGGACAGGATCAGTAGGTGCGGAGCACCCTACTGATCCAGCAACGTCAAGAGAATTTGTAGGCCTCTTGATGAAGGTTGCTCCCAACACACAAACGTTGTGTGTTGCTGCTCTAGGTAATGAGGTCTCACTCATTACCTTGAAACTCGAAGTGACAAAAAGTTGTCCCTTCGAGCTCTAGTCGATTGTGGGGAGTCCAACAATTTTTTGCGACGCCAATCGCTAGAAGATGGTCACTTTAAGTTCAGTGAATGTGACACACCTCCTACGAGGATGACGGTACGTCTTGCGACAGGCGCATCCGTAACCGTCATGAAGCGTATAGTGAAGACCCACTATACGCTAGAAGATACCCAATATGACGATGACTTTATCGTATTGGACTTGGATGACAAATTTGATGTCATCCTTGGAATACCGTGGCTCAGAAGGTACGAACCACGGGTAAACTGGCAACATCGAACAGTAACGATGACTTGCCGCTTGTTCATCAGATGGCCATCTGATGAACGTTTTGGAGCGTCCACAAGCGTGTGGATGTACTACGAGTGAGTGCGATGGCTTCACTTGTGGTACGGTCGTTAGTACGACTGCACAAAACCTTAGTGTACCAAACGGTTACACTTCGGAGCAAAGTTCCGGCGGCTGTGAGGGAAACACAGGCTGCGCCGAAGGTCCACCACTAGAATAAGTCGGGTGGACTGGGACAAAGATGTATCCCTAGCGGGGAACATCTAGAAGAGAAACAATCGATCGCTCAGGTTAAGCGAAACGATAATCCTAGATCGACTGGAGAGTCTTTCGTAGAGGATCTCGCTGTGGTTGCGCAACCCCAGCTAGAGGAAGTAAAGGGAATAAGTCCCAAGATTACAAATACGGCGGAAATAAGTTCCCCGAAACCCGCGGGAATAAGTCCCCGGGAAGACGAAGGAATAAGTCCTTCGAAGCCTGAGGGAATAAGTCCCCAGGAAATGACAGAGACATTGAATGTCATAGTCAATAACGGATCATGTGTAGGCGCTTATACACTTGATCTGATTGCGCCTCCGAAGTTAACTTCGGAGATCACTCAGCTGCCAACGCTCGAACATAAAAGATTCTTGCGTGATCTGCGTAGTGGCAAAGTCAAGCAGATCTGCATACTCGTCGCTGAAGACGAGTATGTAACCGACATAAGGTCAGCAACAGTGTTTACTGAGAACGAGAGAGTTCTCAGTAGTTCATCTATGGACGAGAGTGTCCTAGATGAAAAGACACGAATTGAGCGATATGAGTCCCAATCATGGGAATCGCTCAAGGAAAATCCTCTCTATGAAGATTTGGTTGAATTCAAGGATGTATTCCCTGAAACTGTTCCGTGCGAATTACCGAAGGATAAAGGTATTCGACACGAAGTCGAGCTTAAACCAGGCTCGAAGTACTGTGTCATGAAGCAGTGGCCACTGCCTCGTGAACAAGTACTTGCGATCGACAAGTTCTTTGCCGATCGTTTAGCAGCGGGCCATGTGAGGGAATCAACTTCCCCACATAGCTCTCCGACCTTCTGTGTGCGAAAAGCAACAGGAGGGTGGCGGATAGTGCACGCGTTTAACAAATTGAACGCTGCAACGGTACCGGCTCAGACGCCGATACCGAGGAAGGACGTAATCATTGATGGTATGTCAAAGAGTACCATCTTTTCGTCCATGGATTTGATGGATGGCTTCTATCAAATCCTAATGCGGGAACGGGATATACCCTATACCGCAGTTAGCACGCCTAGCGGCATGCTCTGGGAATGGCTAGTAATGCCACAAGGGCTCAGTAATGCCCCTGCCACGTTCAACAGGTGTGTATCACATCTGTTGAGGCCAGTACGAGAATTCGCGCCGAGTTATTTCGATGACGTATTCATCCATAGTCGAGCTATGGATGGAAAGTCGGACGTTGAGGTTCACAAGTACCACGTCCGACAAGTTCTTACAATCATGCGAAAGCATCAATTGTATGCAAACCTCAAGAAGTGTATATTTGCAGCAAGCGAAATACCACTTCTTGGGTGCATCGTTGGTAAGAACGGTGTACGTCCTGATCCCGAAAAGATCAAGGCGATCACCGACTGGCCCGTGCCGGTCGATGTCAAAGGCCTTCGAAAATTCCTTGGGCTAGCGGCGTATTTGCATAAGTATTCACGCAATTACGCCGAGATGACTGTACACCTCTTTCGTTTGTTGAAAAAGAACGAGAGGTGGTTATGGAACGCTGAATGTCAACGCTCCTTTGAGGGTATCAAGCAGAGCTTGATACAATCCCCAGTCCTAGCAATAGCCGATCAGGACAGGCCATTTCATGTGGTCTGTGATGCCAGCGATTTCGCAATCGGCTGTGCATTAATGCAGTACGACCTTGAAGGCGTTGAACGCGTCGTCTGCTATCAGTCGCGTCAGCTGCAACCAGCTGAGCGGAACTATCCAGTGCATGACAAGGAACTCCTTGCCATGAAGTATGCACTCGCGAAGTTCAGAGTCTATCTATTAGGAGATAGACCCTTCATTGTTTACACTGACCATGCGTCATTACGCACGGCAGTGAACAGCCCGCACCTTTCACAACGAATGGCGCGGTGGTTGTCATTCTTTGCGGAATACAACTTTACGGTCGAGTACAAACCAGGACGACTTAATGTCGTCGCTGATGCACTCTCACGTCGTCCCGACTTGGAAACAGTCGCGAAACCCAACAGTGAGACAGTCACCGTTGCGGTTATGACGTCCTCAGTCCCATCTACAACGTTGTATGATGATGTGAGGCGGGCATACGCCCAAGATGGTGAGATAGTGAAGTTGTTGACACATCTCTCCCAACCATCTCGAGAATCGTTGAAACGATTGTCGCCTGCGTATCGATCTGATGAAGATCGATACACTACTCATAACGGTTTACTGTACTATACAGCCGTTTCTGGTGACACACCACGTGTTGTCATTCCAGATGATATTGATCTGCGTTTGCGGATCATGTTCGAGTATCACGATGCTCCTATAGGAGGACATCGTGGCCGAGAGAAAACATATCTCACGGTAAGTCGAGACTTTTACTGGCCCCGCCAGTATCAGTTTGTGCGAAAGTATGTTCGCGCATGCGAAGTCTGCCAACGAGTGAAGTCAAGTCCTTCACTGCGTGCACCTTTACAGCCTCTACCGGTTCCGGCTGAGTGCTGGGAATCCATCTCAATGGATTTAGTCTTCGGGTTACCCAAAGACGCACGCGGGAATACGGGTATTCTCGTATTTGTTGACAGATTCAGCAAAATGGTACACCTTGTGGCTGTACCAGAGACAATCACGGCAAGTGGCTGTGCTTGTGTCTTTATTGACACCATCTTCCGACTTCATGGGTTGCCCCGTGAACTCGTATCAGACAGAGATCCACGATTCACTACTGATTTCTGGCGTTCCGTGTTCAAATCACTCGGAACGCGCTTGAAGATGTCAACATCTGATCATCCAGAGTCGGATGGTCAGACGGAACGTGCCAATCGTGTCCTTGAAGAGATACTTCGAGGATACGTACACTCCTTTAAGAGTTGGAGTGAGTTTTTGCCAATGGTAGAGTTTGCCATCAACAACTCGGTGCATGCGTCCACGACACATACACCGTTTTACGTGAATGGCTTGCGCCATCCGCGTATACCCACCTTACTAGAGTGTAACTCTGGTTTAAGGGGGGAGGGACTCGCGCGAGCAAAAACCGATTTGGTTCACGCTCATCACGCTCTGACGAAGAAGTCATTGCGTTTGATGCCGATATCGATAACATCGATATCGAAGAAGATGATGCCAGTGAGAGTGCGGAAGCCCTCACTGAAGACAATGATCCCAGTGAGAGTGCGGAAGCCCTCACTGAAGAAAAGGTTGTTGTTGCTGCAGTGCGCTCACAGCACACTGAAGCTAACGAGTCATCAGATGAGTTCATACTGGCTCGTGAAACGGTAGTCCGTTTTGTGCAAGACTCCATCGCCGAAGCGGTGGATAAGCAAAAGCAAAACGCTGACAAGAATGGAAGGGCAAACACTCTTTTATTTAATAAAGGTGACTTAGTCCTACTGTCTACGGTTAATCTACCAAAGCATGTAGTGACTAACTTGGGTAGCAGTAAACTACTACCCAAGTACATTGGCCCATTTCGTGTATTGCACCGCCTAGGCAATGCATACACGATCGAGTTACCACGTAAGATGCGAACGCATCCCACGTTTTACGTTGGTCGGCTTAAGCCGTACCATCAGTACGCTGCTTCTTCCGATGAAGAACGCCCTTGCGCTCAAGCATCTCGCAGAGAGCCTTGTGCTCCCGATGGTGGGCATCAACAAGGGTCTGAAGAGCAGTTATCTCAGCCCGAGACCGATCAACAATCCCACGAGCTACCCTTAGCTCGTCACGAAGAGATGTCAGAGATCTCTCGTTCTCAAGCTGAGCAAAGGCAAACTCAGCTCGATGCTTCGAGGCAGTGTCCACCATCTGAAGACGCCTATTCCGCTCATGCTCGAGATCGTCGCGTAACCCTTGCGTTACGCGATCAAAGAAGCTCTCGGGAACACACCGATCCACATGATCGTGTGGAGAGCGTCTTTCCTCCTCCTCCACCTCCATTAGAGGACTCTCGCGGTGGCCAGCGCTATCTAGTAGAGCAGCTGTTGAACCACCGCGACGTGAACGGACGTCGGACGAGTTACCTCGTCCGGTGGCGCGGCTATCCCCCGTCCTGGGATTCTTGGGAGCCCCGCTCCCAATTGATGGTTGACGTACTGGGTCTGGTCGAGCAGTACGACGCGACACATCCTGTGCCGCAGAAGGACCGCCGGAGAAAGTCTTCCCGGCACGGTCGTAAAGGGATTTCAGGTTGTCAATCCCTTCGTACATCTCAGTAGAGACACGTACGCGCCACCACGGGCTGGTAAGGAGGTAAGCCTCCTTAGGTGCTCGTGCAGAGTTGTTCACACAACATGGGCACGAGTCTCCCCAAGAGAGGCAGGGTAATCCTTTCTCCCTTGACAGACGATGCAGCTTGTAGCGTGCACCTGTCGGGGTTCGCTTTTCAAACTTATCACGAGCTTTGATAAGTTTGTCGTTCCAAGCGTCACGACCTACATCCTCGAGATTATGGATGTAGGCGTTCCACGCCTGAAGTAGTGAGGGACCATCACGTTTGTGATTCCCACTGTACCATCGATGTCTGAAGAAAGCATCGATGAAGAACTCATGTTCAGCGCGATAGTCTTTCGCGCTGGGGTCAAGGTGATGAATCCTCGACGAATCGAACAATCGTGTTCGATAACGATCACTCGTCGTCGCCGACAAGTGATCCATGACAGATTTAGGAGGCATCCATGCCTTCTTTTCTGGAGCGAGACGCAACACATTGCGGTCCCGCTCTTCCTGCGACGTGCCGACAGAAGTACTGGCACCTCGCTGTGAAGTGGTGTCCATTGGAGAAACGACACCACTATTAGCGCCCGAGTCTCGCGACCTCGAGCGCCTTCGCTTCGGCGATGGTTCATCTGAATCATCAGATGAACCAAAGATGCTGCGACGCAAAGCATCGTCCATGTCACGCTTGGCAGGCGGCTTGGATTCAATTGCCGTCGATACGGATCCGTCATCCGTATCAGGAGAGTACGAGACACCGAGCTCGTACTCTGTGAAGACACGAGTGTCTTCATGACCAGCGCCTGCATCACCAGGTGATACAGGCTGAGTCGCTTCAGCAACCGATGGGATATCAGTTGCTGTAGTTTCTGCTTCGGCGTCCGCACAGAGACGTGCAGACGCGCTCTCGGCGGCCTTGCTCGCGCATCGCATGGGCTTGTTTACCATGCGATGAGATGTTGGAAAGTGGACGCGGACCAACAAGTGCAAACCCCGTCCCAAATGATTTGGGACGAGTATCCATTTAGTCAATCAGTCACTAAAGTGACTGATGGTTAAGGGGGGGTGATGTAACGGGGTGAATCGTTACATAACAATTTATAAGAAATTGTTAATAGAATATAACTATAAGAGTTATATTCTCAGAATATTGTCATAAGGACAATATTCTGTAGCACTTCCAAGTAGTTCCTAATTGGTTGATATAGGCCATTATATCAACCAACGAAGACGCGCCACGACAGACGCACGCAATGAGTGGTGAGCAGATAACTGATTTACACATTTGTATTTAGACATAGTTAGATGAAGATAAATAGTGATTTATTGCAGACATTAACTATTATAAATACAGTTCTACTTTTTACTCTAACCGAGTACTCGCTTCTTCTTACCGTCTTCCTCTGCACGTACGAGTGTACGTGAAGTTACGAGGCACCGCCTTATTCTGTTATCAGAATAAGTAGCTTGTACTGTCACCAGTACAAGCTTCAGGGTGCCCCGTTACAGCCAGCCTCAGCGAGTCGTACCAGTTCCTAATTACAGCATTAGAGTCGAGAGCCGACTCCCTCACGTGGGAACTAGTGACGTCTCGGCTGTTGCACGAAGACATGAAGCGCAAGGAGCACGGTGGCGGAATTGAGGAATCCGCGCACAGTCAAGCTCTAGAATTCATGTCTCGAGATAACAAGCGCAAGGCTCTACCGGCTAAGAAGACCGGTGCGTGCCACAAGTATGGAAAACAAGGACATTGGATCGCGGAATGCCACTTGCGGATCCAGGAAGATGCCAATAAAACCGATTCCAGCGCGCATACATCGCGCAAGAACAAGAGCTTGGCGATCATCTTTTCTTGATTGGTAGTGGCAAGACCAAGTCGAGTAACATGTGGCTGGTCGACTTGGGTAAGACGCAGCACATGACAAGTTCGAAAAGGTTCATGAGGAACTACAAGGATTTTGCCCAGTGGATGTACATCTTGCTGATGACGGTGTGGTCCAAGCAATTGGAAAAGATGATATCGTTATGTCAATGAAGGCTCATCAGGGGGTCAAGAAGGGTGTGCTCACGGATGTGTGGTATATCCTAAAGTTGTCGCGCAATCTGTTTTCTGTTGGCCGATTTATCAAGGACGTTGGACCGGTCACATTCGAGGTTGACGGTTGCTTTGCTGAAACAAAGTGTATCAAGTGGAAACGCGGCAAAATCGAAGGAAAAGGACTTTTTAAGCTCTGTATGATACTAAAACTTCCTGACGAGGTCAACGTGGCAAGCTCGAATTCCTGCAAAGCAGATACTATCTCCTACCTCTATTATCTTTTGCTTGGTCACATTAGACACGGGGGCCTGGATGCTATCGTCAAGAACGATTGCTGCAACGGAATCAACTTGACATCAGTATACAAGTGGGACCTATGCGAAGGGTGCGCTCTGTGCAAAAATTTACACCACCTCACACTCCTTGGCTTAACGGTGTCGCCGAGCGGATAAATCGGTCGTTGGTGGAAAGCGCGCGTTGCATGATGGAAAATTCTTCGATGTTTAAGTCGTATTGAGGTGAGGCGGTCATGACCGCGAACTTCCTACGTATTCGCTGTCCAACTCGATCTACGGAGCATTGCAAGGGACCATACCAAGTACGGACTGGCAAGAAACCTCTTCTGGCGAACTTGAAGGTTTTATGGTTGTCATACATACGTTCATGGGCCCAGCCCAAAGAGGTCTAAGCTCGACGCAAAATCGTTCATTTTTTTCGACAAGACGGACCGGGGCGACCTTAAGTACTTTCTCGGTAAAGAAATTGATTACGATCTCTCAGCCGGCACAAATTCAATTTGTCAGTCTAAATTTGCAAAGGATATTTTCGGGAAGCTTGTCATGAAGAACAGCAATCTTGTCAAGAATCCACAAGAACCTGGACTCAAGTTGACAAGGTCAATGTGTGCAGATGGGTGCAAGTACGCGGAAACAATGGCACATGTGCCATACTGCAATGCTATCGGCTGCTTGATGTATCTCATGGTGAAAACTCGCCCAGATATCGCAGTTGCAGTGGGAGTGCTCAATCAGTTCGCGGCAGAACAACAACAGAAACGACTTCAACCCTTTGGCAAGCGCTTAAGCGGGTGTACCGTTACATCCAAGGCAAAAGTACGTATGGAATTGAATTCCAAGCAAACAGTGATGACAGATCAGAAGCCTACTCGGATGCGGACTGGGCTGGAGACGTCGAGGCCAGACGAAGCACAAGCGGGTACGCCTTCGTGATGAACAACGAATGCATTAGTTGGAGAAGCTAGAAACAGCACCGTGGCTCTATCGTCTATAGAAGATGAGTACATGGCTTTGACTAAAGCTGCACCAGTGGCATTTTTCTTACAATATTCTTACATGAATTCTGCAAGATGAATAGCGATGAAGCTGTCAAGATCTACGAAGACAATCAAGGTTCCATTGCTTTGGCTAAGAACCTCAAGTTGTACAAGCGGACCAAGCAAATCGACATTCGTTATCACTTTGAGCGTGAAAAGGCGGCAGTAGGAAAAGTGATGCTGGAATACTGCTCGACCGAGGAGATGAAGGCTGACATAAAGACCAAGACAATTCCTGCAGCACAGTTCCAGTATCTCAGAACAATGTTGAGCATCAAGGCGCCATAGTCTGCCGAGGCGAGTGGGAGTCTTATAAAAGATACGCCTGGGCATGACGCTTCAAAGTGTTCTGTAGCTCAGCCGGTATGGTACCTGGCTGAGCTACAGAACAAAGGTCACTGTTCGATACTGGTGGGGGCGTGCAAACAAAAAGTCAAGCCTTTGGGATCTGATGTTTGGGGTTCATCTGCACTGTTCTGCCAGACAGTGACGCCATTCACTCTCAGTACGTTTGGGTGATTGAAAACGCACGACAAGAATTAGAAACATACGACTAGACGATCAGTAATGCGCGATATGGCGATTACTAATGCGCGATGTGGCGATTGCTAATGCGCGACTAGGCGATTGGTAATGCGCGATATAGCGATTACGAACGTGTAGTCGAAGAATCCAGTAGGCTTGGAGTAGCAACTGAGTTTGTGAACTAAGGACCTAAATATATTCACATTGCATTTTGCTAACTTCATCTAGCATCGATCACTTCCTTTAGTAAGAACCCGCGCAATAATTTTAGTGAAAAGACATGCAAGTTCAAGCCTGCTTAAACGTTACGTGTAGAAATCGGCTCCAAAGGCTCTCTAGTACATGCTTTTTACTTTTTTGTTGTTGAGTGTCCCCACCGCATTCGGCAGAGGAGTTTATGGCAATAAACGAAAAGACCTAACGGAGCGACCGTGTGTGTTTAAATAAGGCCATTCACAACTGTGATTGTTTCAAAGGTTTGACTGAAAGGCCAATCTCTGAGCTTCGCAACTGTCCTAGCTGTAGCGAAGCACTGATCACTATTACTGACACAGTACAAGTCATATTTCACTGACGCTAAAATGGGGTAGCCCGTTACATGATATTGACACCAAACGGTTTTAATAGGGAGATTGGCTAGCGTGACAGTTCCTTGCCAACATTTTCCATGATAGGTACTATTGAAGGAACATTATTCCCTTGTAGGATAGTATTCATGCGCTGCTCAAAGATAGGTTGATATAAGACGTATCAACCATAGATTGCCACCAATCGCTGCTAGACGCGCGCAATGAGTGGTGAGCAGGTTGTCGTCATACGACAATGTAGATTATTATAGTTAGATAAAGATTAAAGTTATATTGATAGCTTAACTATATTAAATACAGTTCTCTTTTTACCTTTACTTGACCGAATCGTTCAAGTAGATTAGCTTCCTCTGCACGTACTAGTGTATGTGAAGTTTCGCGGCACCCCAAACAAAGGGTGCCTCGTTACACCTGGCAGCACTTCGTAGTCTGTCCGACGACTACTTAGTGTTTGTTGAACATGAGCACGTTGGACGTAGAAGACGACAGCTTACACGTCACACGTAAAGGCTACTTACATCTAAGTGACTCTGAATGGGATATAATCGACCGCATGAGTGTGCTCATGGGCGAACCCGCCATCAGTGACATTCTGGAGTCTCTAAACAGAGAACAGAAAGATGTCGCTATCAAAACGTTCCTTCAAGGGAACTTGATGTCGAAAGACAAAAGATAGTCTTGCTAAAACAGCAAGGCTCTCATCAGTCAATGGGCGGGCCGACGCACACGCGTCGACCCGAAGATTTGAAGATATATATCTCAGGGTACAGGGGCACCAATAAAGATTCTCTTTTGAGATGGTTTGTCGACTCAGAAGACTCCATAAGGCCCGTCTCATCGAGGCAGACGAGATGCAAGTCACCTTCTCTCTGTCAAATTTGACAGGACAAGCAAAGATTTGGGCCTTAAGGCTCAAGCTTCACGACCTAAACGTGTTTGAATCGTTAAATACCTTGAAGTTTCGGTTTAAAGAAACGTTTGAGCCGTTAAGAGCCGAGTTCAGAGCATGCTCTGCACTCATGAGGCTTAAGCAAGGTAAGCGTGATGTGCATGCTAATGCACATCACCTACGCTACCTTGCAAGTAGCTTCACGGAATATCCTATTGATGAGCACGCTCTCATCAAGTGTTTATATACGGCCTTGTAGATGGACCGGTGAAGACTTACATGTTCCGAGAGGACTTGCACTCGGTTGAGAAGGCAATAGCGTATGCGGAACAAGAAGACTTCAGCCTGAGACAGTCTCAAGCCAACTCGTCATACTAGCGTCCGACGAAATGACAGGAAACAGGATGTACCAAACCAATGGACCTCTGTTATATCGAGTGCGAGAACTCTCGCTCTCTGAGTCACAAGCGAACGGCTAGATGCCATCGCTGTCAGAAGAATGGACACTACGCTCATGAGTGTAGTGTCCCAAGCACCGCAACACGTTCAATGACAGGACGTGATGACCGCCGTTGGCCTAGGAAAGGTCCAAGATGTGGGTCCGATCATGTTGCTAAACCGCGACAGAAAGTCGGACCGCTAAAAACGATCAGGGTCAGTAGGGGCGGAGCACCCTGCTGATCCAGCAGCGTCAAGAGAATTTGCAGGTCTTCGACGTAACTTGCTCTCAACACACAGTCACTGTGTGTTACTTCCCCTAGTTATGAGATGTCTCTCATCACTTTGAAGATCGAAGTGACAAGTGGAATGTCACTTCGTGCCCTAATTGACTGCGGGGCGTCAAACAGTTTTATTCGACGCCAGTCGCTAGAAGATAGTAGGCTCAACTATGCTGAGCAAGTATATCCCTTCAACGAGGATGACGGTGTGCCTTGCAACAGGCGCATCCGTAACAGTGAACAAACGTGTAGTGGGAATCCACTACAAGCTAGAAGGAAAGCGGTACGATGACGACTCTATCGTACTGGATCTGGATGACAAATTTGATGTCATCCTCGGTCTTTCAGGGCTCAGAGGATATGATCCATGGATCAGCTGGCAGCATCGATCCGTGAAGATGCCTGCCGTTTGTTCATCAGATGGCCACCTGATGAATGTCTTGGAGCGTCCACAAGCGTGTGGATGTACTGCGAGTGAGTGCGATGGCCCTGCTTGTGGTATTGTCGTTATTACTACTGCACAAGATCACATTGTAGAATACCACTGCATTGTAGAACCAGCTTCCGGCAACTGTGTAGAGACACGGGCTGCGCCGAAGGTTTACCTCTCGAAAAGATCGAGTGGACCGGAACACGGATGCACACCAAGAAGAGTGCATCTAAGAAGAGAGATGAGTGTTGTTCAGGCTGAACAACACGTCACTGCGAGATCGACTTAAAGAGAGTAGATCTTAAAGCTTACACGATCGACTGAAAGAGAGTCAATCGAAGAGGACGTGACTGTGGTAGTGAACGTGTTTAACTTAGTGATCAGTGTTAAAAAGGTTTAGTCATTACGTTTTAGCCGACCAGTTAACCGTTCAAGCTTGTAAGCTTCCCTACCATTCAATTAATTGGTTGCAGTACAACACCTTGGTTGATCAGACAGAAAAGAGAGACAGTGTCGTCAGCCGCATCTCACCCCCTCTTGTCCACGTGCAAATCTTCCTTTGACACTCCTCTTCGGCTGCGGCACCATTAATCCCCTTCTCTTTCTTGAGTCCTGCCCCTACCCGAGTCTCATTAACTTGCACAGTGACGCAAGCTTGACCGCCTCCAGGGCCTTCGTCATTATTTTCGGCAATCTGGACTTCAGTCCTGACGTACTGCGCCGATATGATCTCGTGTCGTGAGTAGCACCGCACATAATTGAGCCGCATATCGAAGTGCTTGGCTTTCGAGGAAGATGAATTTCCATCCAGCTGCTTGATAGCGGCTTGATTGTCGATGTACAGCATCAATGGCAGTCGGGGCGGAATCCAAATTTCGCTTAATATATTTCGAAAACAAAATCCAAGTAATTCACGCGTTTGCTCCGAAGCGGCAACAAATTCCGCTTCCATGGTGGATAGAGAGACGCCGACTTGTTTCTTGGCCGTCTAACTCACTGCCATGCCGTTCAAAAGGATGAATTCGCCTGCCAACGACTTTCGGTTCAGCTTATCGGCAGCCAAGTTCGCGTCTGAGTACGACCCTAAGTATACTGTCTTGCGCGTGCTCGTCGCTGGTGTCATGCACACCTTGAAGCTGCAGGTACTGTATAGTCCCTCGCGATACGTTGGCGAGCTTGTAGTCCTGGAATCGCGGCTGGTGCGTCTGAAGCGTCGCCTTTTGGACGGCAAACGCAATGTCTGGCCGCGTACATCTCGACACCCAGATAAGACTGCCGACGAGTGATCATAATCTTCGAATGCTTGGAGCTCCTCCGTCTGCATCAAAAAGCAAAGCGCTGTCTGTTGATGGGATCTCGTAGCAATCCGCGCCGATGGAAGTGCGCGTTGAGTTTGCGTCTTCGAGAACATGCTCTTTCAAGATGTCGTCGATTGCATTTTCTTGGTCGATTATATAACCTTCGTCGGTGTCGATCTCCACTCGATTCCTAGGAAATTGTAAAATGCCCCTAGGTCCTTTATAGATAGACTGCCTGGACTCGCAAAGGAACGTTCGACTGCTGCCGCGTACGTGCTAGTAGCTAGCAGGTCTTCAACATTGACCCCGACAATCACGAAGTCTCTCTCATCCTTCTTCCAGTAAAATCACATGTCCGATACATTTTGCTGCAAATTAGCGTCAATGAGCCGTGCTTGAATTAATCGAATCCAGAGCCTCCGGCCTGTTTGAGGCCGTACAAACTCTTGCGAAGTTGCTACGCTAGCTCACTCACGCTCGTTGCTCCCAGAGACTCGACAATATCACTGCACACATCCATTCCTTTTGGTACTTGTAAAAGCATATCCAGATCGGACTATTTGTCAGCCTTAACGTAGGCGTACGGAATGTCGCCACGCTTTGCCCGGACTCCCCACGTTGCCGCAAGATCCAATATTATCCTCACAGTAGACATGTCCATTACGGCAGCAAATGTAACAAAGTAGTCGACTTCAAACTCTTGTTCTTTGCCGCACGCCATCAGTCGCGCTATAAGGCGTTCGACATCTCCACCAGCAGTGGTCTTCGTCTTGTACACTCACTTCGTGTGGAGTGAATTGCTGCTGCTCGGACGCATAATAAGACGCCAGGAGTTGTTGCTCTCGAGCGCTTCCATTTTTCACACGACGCCTTTTTCCAGTCCCCTCTTTTAGAACTTCGCATTGCTTCAACGTAATTCTCCGGATCACGCTCGTTCACGCAAATTACGACGCTCGTATTGATCGCTGGCTCCTCCTATGCCGTGACTTCCTGAGAGCGCTTCGACGTGCAGCGCGTACCTTGTGACAGGCGGGTACATAACATCTTCTTCGACCTTCCGCTACGCACAGTTAATTCACCTTCTTGTTGGGTTTTGATAAGACCTCGATCGATGCCGTCGACGGCGCAACAGATTCTTTACTCCTGGAAACAGCTAGTGCGGGTTGATCTCGTTTTCGAGAGCGCGCTGGAGCTGTCCATTTTGCTCGTCACTGAGTGTCACAATGTTTTTAACGTAACGCTTACTAACCACGACGTTGTCCTTTTGCAAAAAGACTCGATAGTCTTTAGTTTTGTCGCTCCTTCCAACGATAATGCCAACGTGTGCTCGTTGTGCGAGCCAATTCTTACGAGGGTCTCGACAGACCGTGCAACTTGAGCCATACCACTATGTTGCGCAAATCGAGAGAAACCTTCGTGAGTACTATAGTGGCGACGCGCGCCGCAAGTTTGCACTTGTTGGGCTCCTTTTCAGGATGTACGCCGCGTTTTCGACGGCATCTACCTAAAATGTTGAGGGCAGAAAACTTGCAAAGTCTTGTACCGAGCCATAATTAATACGGTTCAATGCATCCGCTCCTCCTTACCATTCGAAGTTTAATTTTTTGCTTCTAAGACTTGACGGGCTACTCCAGTGCGCTTGCAGAACAAGTCCATATTTCGTACTTCCCACCACCGTCCGTACGTAGGACGAAAATACGACAGTCAAAGCGCTTTTCAAAGAGACATCAAAAAGTGTGCAAACTTGTTTGCTGCTCAATCCTTGGTTGAAGCCGGAAACACGCGACAGTAGTTCGACTTATGGTCGACAAAATTCACAAGAACACTGTTTTTATGCCGGTCCTTCGGCTTCATATGTCCCTTTTGATACGAGGAAATGACTCTACCAATCCTGTCGATTGGTGCGTTTACGCCGGTGTTCTATTGCGATTGGGGATTCTTGGTCTGCTTCCCTCCAGCACATGACAAACACGTGAGTGTGCGCCGATCCGTAGTCTTGATCCCTGATGCAGGATCCTTCGCCATTCGCTCCACTGTGTCGAAGGAGAGGTGTCCGAGTCGCTGGTGGAAATCCATGAGCATGCCTCTTTGCATTTCCAACGAAAACTCAGACGTTCCTTCGTCGGCCAGTACAGCCAATAATACGTCACTTGGCATACCCTTTAGGTGCGGAATTTCCACTGTCTTAACTTAAAATGCGTTGTTGTCCTTAAATAAATCGGAAGCCACTTCCCCATTGCTGCAATTAGCAACAGTGCGCATTGCTCCATCGTACACTGTTTTTAGACCCTTGAGCTCGAGTTTTCCATACGAGACAATGTCACGCTCGAGTTCAGTCACAAGGTAGACGTCGGTAAGCTTGACCATCCGCTCCTTGCCACCTGCCACAGCGCATAAACGGACGCTACCGACTCTTGACAGGGACAGTGATTCTTTATTTGCTATGTGGCACTGATAGTCGCAGTCCTGCACGTCCAATAAAATGCTTTCGTCCTTCAAAAGGTGTCGACTTAAACCACTGTACAAGATCACGTGTCATTTGTGTCATTTGCATCATCGACTTTTAAATATCAGATCCGCACTCTTGTTGCTATGCGATAAAATCTTGCTCTTGCCTCCACTGTCGCTTATTACCAGAATCAAATTTTCATCACCTCCTCTTCCACGACAGTCAACCTCGTTGTGGCCAACCTTCCCACACCCAAAGCACGTGCGCCTCTCTCTCTCTGTTGGTTCTCGTCGACTAAAGAAATGACGTCTCGACCAAGTGCGCGACCCTTACGAGACTCAAGCTCCACAGAATGCGCGAAGTGGGCGACCTGCTCGGCTTGACGCAGATAGTCAACCCGCAGATTTTCGTACTCAGCCATAAAACTGTACTTAATCCCGTAGACGCGTAGTGCACGATGTTTTCGAGTACTTGCTGGTCTGCACCCCCACACGCGTCACTGACGGCATCCAAGTATAGTTAATGCTTCGGACATCTTCGTTTGGGGTCTTTCCACGTCGTAAAGAGTTGCATCGACTTCGACGCCGTTTTCATGGTCTTTAAAGTCTACAGGAGCCTTTCCATGACGTGGTCGACTGTAGGTGACTGCGTTCACCACAACTTCAGCTGTATGTTGTAGTAGCTTTCTGCAGTGCCACTCAAGTAGTGTCCTTTCAAGTCGGATTTGACTTCTTTGGGCCAGGAAAATTGGCATGCGTGCTGACTTATCGCTATTTGCAGTAAAAGGTTCCGCCTCCAATCTAGAAAGCCAGAGCCAAGAACATGGTAGAGCTCGCTACCGTCGAACTTCCTGATAGCCAGCTTCCGCTGACGCGCGTCCGGCACTCTGTATGCAGGACACGCTGCCTGCTGTTTCTGTCGCGGCGCTTGCTGCTCTGGAAAGCCTTGTCGCGGCTCAGGTGCAACGTACTGTGGACCGAGCGGTTCGACGTGTGCTGCCTGCACTGGTGACCTTCTCGGGCGTTGTCTAAGTTGGTTCTCAGCTTGGTTTGGAGATTGTAGCCTTGGCGGCGAGCTGCCAAGCGCGTCCAAGTGCATTGGGCCAGCTTTGCTCATGATGCGGCCGAGCAGAGAGCTGAAGTGCCCACTCTCGACTGCACCTCGGAGTCGCTCGTTCTCTTATATTTGCAACTGGGATGCTTCCATGCGCTCCGTGCGAACTTTAAGTCCCATGAGCATCTTGAGGATCTTCTCGTTCACGTCCGTGTCCTTTTCGTGGGTTGGCGGGTCTAGGACTTCGGCAGGAGGCGCCACGGTCCTTTTCGTGACCAGTGATTGGAGGCGCCGGTGCCGTGTCGTCGGAGCAGTCGATTGGGATCATAACCTGTTTAACTTATTGCTTAGTATTGAAAAAGATTTTGTAGTCACGTTTTAGCCTACCAGTAAACTGTTCAAGCTTGTAATCTTTCCCACCATTCAATTGGTTGATCGCAGTACAAAACCTTGGTTGATCAGATAGAAAAGACAGACAGTGTCGTCAGCTGCACCTTGCCCCTTTCTTGTCCACGTGCAAATCATTCTTTAACAGCACCTACAGTCAGAACACGTATTGGAAGAAAGTTCCGGCGTTCCTGAGAGTGATCACTCTCGAGAGAGCAATGTTGAGGGTGTGTTTTCGACCAACCACCTGCAGATGAGTTTTCCCAGGAAAGCACCGAGATAGTGTATTTCGTGGTGGATGATGGATCGAGTGCAGGCGCTTGTACACTTGATCTGGTTACACATCCGAATTCAGCATCGGAGGGAATCAAGTTAACAACGCTATAATTTTAACTGATATTTGCGATACCTGCAAAGTGACAAGATCGAGGAGATCTGCGTACTTGTTACAGTGGACGACTATGTCGCCGATCTTCGGTCGGCAAAATTGTTTACGAAAAACGAACGGGATCTCAGTAGCTTGTCGATGAACGATAGTGTCCTCGATGAGAAGACCCGGATTGAGCGATACACGTCTTAATCTTGGAAGTCTTTGCAGACAAATCCTTTGTATGAGGATTTGATCGAATTCAGGGACGTTTTCCCTGAATCCGTGTCATGCTAGTTGCCTAAGAAAAAAAGCACCAGGCATGAGATTGAACTGTTACCCAATTTGAAGTACTGTGTCATGAAGCAGTGGCCACTGCCTCGGCAATCGGCAAAATCTTTGCGGATCGCTTAGTAGCTGGTCATGTGAGGGAATCATCATCCACACACAGCTCTCCGACCTTCAGTGTGCGAAAGGTCACAGGAGGGTGGCGGACAGTGCACGCGCTCAACAAATTGAATGCTGAAACGGTACCGGCTCAGACGTCGATCCCAAGGAAGGACGTCATCATTGATATTATAGCAAAAGTACCGTCTTTTCGTCCATGGATCTGACGAATAGATTCTATCAGATCATCATGCGTAAACGAGACATCCCTTACACAGCAGTGAGCAACCCCAGTGGCATGCTCTGGGAGCGGCTAGTGAAACAACAGGGGCTAAGTAACGCCCCTGCAACGTTCAACATATGTGTTACGAATCTTTTGCGACCGGTGCGCGGTTTTGCACCGAGTTACTTTGACGATGTCTTCGTCCACTTCCATGCTATCGATGGAAGGTGGACGTGGAGGTGTAAATAATCACGTCTGGAAGGTTCTTACACTCATGCGCGAGTGTAAATTGCTCGCGAGCCTCAGGCAGTGTACATTCGCAGCGAACGTAATTCAACTTCTTGGCTGCATCGTGGGTAAAAACGGCGTACGCTTTGATCTAGCAAAAGATCAAGGCGATTAGCAACTGGACTGTGCCAGTCGACGTCAAGGGACTTCGAAATGTCTTGTTTTAGCGGCGAACTGCATAAGTACTCGCGCAAATTTGCCGAGATGACCGTACAATTCTTTCGTCTGTTAAAGAAAAACGAGAAGTGGTCATGGAGTGCTAAGGCTCAGCACTCCTTGGAGGTGTCAAGAAAAGCTTGATACAATCGCCTGTGTCGGCTATTGCAGACCAGGACAGATTATTACACGTGGTTTGTGACGCCAGCGATTTTGCAATCGGCTGCGAGTTGATGCAGTACGACTCAGACGGCGTGGAGCGCGTCTTCTGTTATACATCGCGACAGCTGCAAGCAGCTGAGAGGTATAACCCAGTGGATGACAAGGAACTCCTTGCCATGAACTATGCACTGGCTAAGTTTCGGTTGTATCTTGTAGGAGATAGGCCCTTCATCATTTATACCGACCATGCGTCGTTACGCACGGCCGTAAACAGTCCACGCCCCTCGCAACGAATGCCGAGGTGGCTGTATTTCTTCGCGGAGTACAGCTTCTCCGTCGAATGTAAACCAGGACGACTTAATGTCGTCGCTGATGCTCTTTCGCGCCGGCCCGATTTCAAGCCGACTGCTCCACCCAACAGTAGGGGTGATCCCACTGTCGCAACACTACCTGTGGGTGTTCCGTCGTCGAATATGCTCGACGACGTGCGGAAAGCATAAGCAGAAAATGAGTCTCTTCCGCGATTGATAAATTGTGCATCTTATCCGTGCAGTCAAGCTCTGAAAAGCCTGATATCTTAATGCCGCTCTTCAACAGAACGGTTCTCGGTCTGTGATGGACTGCTGAAATGTATAGCATTCACACCTCGTGTCGTCGTTCCGGCTCATAACTATCCACGATTGCGCATCATGTATAAGTGTCACGATGCCTCTACACGTGGGCGTCGCGGTAGAGATAAGACTTTCCTCACGGTAAGTCGTGACTTTTACTGGCCTCGCTAATATGGGTTTGTGCTCAAACACAATCAAGCTTGCCAAGTTTGCCAACGGGTGAAGCCTGGTCCTTAATTAGTGCACTCTTGCAGCCTCTGCCGATTCCGGCAGAGTGCTGGCAGTCCGTATCGATGGACTTCGTCTTTGGGCTTCTCAAAGACGATCACAAGAATACTGGTATTCTTGTGTTTGTTGATCGGTTCAGCAAGATGGTGCATCTTTTTGCTGTACCGGAGTCAATCACAGCCCAGGGCTGTGCTCGTGTCTTCATCGATGCTAAATTTTAACTTAACGGGTTATCCCATGAACTCATGTCCGATAGGGAACCCCGATTCACAGCGGAGTTCTGGCAATCCGTCTTCTGTTCACTAGGAACACGTTTGACGATGTCATCTTCTGACCTTTCCGAAACAGATGGTCAGACGGAACGCGTCAACCGCATTCTCGAAGAGATACTTCGAGGGTCTGTCCACTAGTTTAAGAGCTGGAGTGAGTTCTTGCCGATGGCGGAACTCGCCATCAACAACTCGGTGCATGCGTCGACAACGCACACACCGCTCTTCATTAATGGCCTTTACCATCCACTTTTACCCGCCTTCTTAAAGTGTAACTCCAATTTAAGAGTGGGGCGGTGGACGTGCTCGAACAAAAACAATATTGCTCTTGCTCATCACGCGTCGACAATGGTGTCGACGTGATAAATGCCGATGTCGATCACATCGACATCGATGATGATGATGACGACGATGCTAGTATATTCAGCATCGCCAATGACTGCTACAGTGAGGACGATGCCGCCCTCACTGAACACTAAAACGTTCTTTCAGCAGTGCACACGAAGTGCACTGCTGTTAACAATGATGAGTCAGCAGAGGAATTTCTGCTGACTCGCGAAGCGGCTGTCCGCTTCGTTCAAGATTCTTTGCAGATGCAATAGAAAAGAAGAAAAGGAATACAGATAAACATGAAAGAGCAAATGTTCTTTCATTCGATGAAAGAGGCCTAGTTTTACTGTCAACAGTAAATCTACTAAAAACGCAGTGACGAAAGTGGGCAGTAGTAAACTACTGCCTAAGTATATCGGTCCATTTTGTGTACTGCGCCTCAAGGAAAACGCATACACAATTGAACTACCCCGAAAGGTTCGCACGCATTCCACGTTTTACGTTGGACGTCTCCGCCCGTACTATCAGTACGAGCCCGTTTCGAGATGCGAAGAACACCTCCGCTGTCGAGAGCCGAGACCACCTTCGAGTGGTCCCGTTTTAACGAGACAGTCTGGTCGACTAGCGAAGCGACCTGCTCACGCAGTTGAGCGATGTCCTGACGAGCTGCAGTCATCTCGTCACGAAGAGAAAAAAGCGACCGTCTGTTCTCAAGTTGATCGAACGAAAACGCGGTACGATCGGTCGAGCGATCGTGCGCTAAAAATTGTAATTATCATTTACAAAATCATGAAGTTCGTATCGCCGAGTCCGTTCATGAGCCAGGTCGTCGTGGAACTGATCGGTTACACAAGAAATTCCTGAATATCAAGCTGATCCGACCCTCGAGCCGGATTAGGTGTTCCCGCCACCACAACATCCTTTCGTGGATTCTGGTGGTGGTCAACGCTTTCTGATGGAGAGTATCTTGAACCACCGCGACATTAAGGGCTTCCAGATGAGCTACCTCGTCCGCTGGCGTGTCTTTCCACCGTCCTGGTAGAGCCGGTAAGTTCGCGCCCAGCTGATTGTTGACGTTTGGAGCTCGTCGAGCTATATGACTAGACCTACCCGCTGAGTTCGAAGAAGGGCCGTCGGAAAACAACCTCCCCAAATGCGAGTACAGGGATTGAAAATTGTCATTCACTTTGGCCATCTCAGAAGCAATGCGAGCACTCCAGTAGGGAATGTTTGAGACGTAGACCTACATGTGGGCACAATTCGCATTGTTCACGCAACCAGAACACAAATCACTCCACGAGAGATAGGGTAATCCTGCCTCTCTTAACATTCGGTGCATCTCGTATCGTACACCGGCTGGGTTAAGTTATAAAACCTGATGCGAGCTGCATCAAATTTACCGAGCTAGGCCTCACGGCCAAATACTCGATGTTATGGATAAAGGCATCCCATATTTGCATCAAGGCCTTACCGTCTCGACCACGGTTGCCGTTGTACCACCGATATTTGAAGAACGCATCGGTGAAGAACTCTTCCTCAGCACGGATCTTTCCCGAATGAATCAGAGGACAGATCCTCCTACAATCGAACAGGGAATTTGGTCCTGTTCGGTGGTCATACCGGCCACACAATCTAACTCTTTGTATGATGACATCCAAGGAGACGCTACTTGAGGAGCGTACGGCAGTACATTTCGGTCCCTGGCCGCTTGAGTGGTGTCAGCATGAGCAATGACAGCAGTGACAGCTCGATCTTTCGAGTTGCTTCTCTCGTGGTGATGCGTAGAGGTATCACCACCATCACCACGCAGTATATCGTCGGATGGACTTCCGTGAGATAAGGATTCGTCAGACGAATCGCTCGGTTTGAAAATCTCGGACATGATGCCGCCACGTTCCCCAGAGCTAGTCAACTTAGCTCTTGCAGTGTCCGCCCCGGGTGATCCGGAGGCGTGAGGTGTCGCCTTCGAGTTGTATGGATCATCCGAATCGCCATGGTAGATGAGCTCTATTCCAGGCTTATCCACTTTGCGAGTCACAGCACCCGCTGCAGACGAGGCGAATGTATCTGTCGCACGTGATGACTCACCACGTGGACTATTCACAACAGGCACCGCTTGTTGCCGAATTGCAACAACAGGCGAAGGATCACCTGATCCTGAAGCAAGAGAAGAACTCTCTTCGACTCCACGCATGCGTGCAATCGCCTCTCTTGCTTCTTCAGCAGTACATCGCATGGCATTTGATAACATGCGATAAATTAGCAAATAATTTGGAATTTGACCAACAAGTGCTCTCTTTCCCAGAGTGATCCAACTGTGGTCACCCTGTCCCAATCAGTTAAATTCAATCAACGGGTGATTGATGGTTAAGGGGGGGTGAAACGGGGTAGCCTGTTGCATGATATTGACACCAAACGGTTTTAATAGGGAGATTGGCTAGCGTGACAATTTCTTGCCAACATTTTCCATGATAGGTACTATTGAAGGAACATTATTCCCTTGTAGGATAGTATTCATGCGCTGCTCAAAGATAGGTTGATATAAGACGTATCAACCATAGATTGCCACCAATCGCTGCTAGACGCGCGCAATGAGTGGTGAGCAGGTTGTCGTCATACGACAATGTAGATTATTATAGTTCGATAAAGATTAAAGTTATATTGATAGCTTAACTATATTAAATACAGTTCTCTTTTTACCTTTACTTGACCGAATCGTTCAAGTAGATTAGCTTCCTCTGCACGTACTAGTATACGTAAAGTGTCGTGGCACCCCACACAAAGGGTGCCCCCTTACAGACAAAGTGTAAGTTAGTGCAGAAAGTTAATTTACATACACCGTACGAGCATAGGAAGTATCTATTGGACGACGCGATCCATCGAAATAGAGAGTAAAAGCGTTCTGAATATACTAATTTCCTAATTACATGTACCTATGTTTTAGTTCCAGCTTAATTATATTTTCCTACGAAATGTAGGCTGAACTCTTGCTCACCACTCATTGCGCGCGTCCATCACTGATTGGACGGTTAAAATTAACTTATATAACGGCCCACATCAGCCATCAGGTGATTGCCTCCGAATACTACCCCTAATGTTGATATTTGTGAACATAATCATCCTTCATGATAATATTCTGATTAACAAACATTAAGTGTTGATCTAAAGTAATATGCTCACCCCTTTACACTTGGTATCTCACTTCTCCAAAAGCTACCAGGTTCTCAAGGCCTGTCGATTGGCTGCTACTTCTGATAGTATTCTACTAACTTACAGCATCTGTCCACCTACACGAGCGTGATTACCACAAACGCATTCATCGGTAATCGCAGCTTCATCGGTTTCATTTATTCAGATAAGACAGCTTCACCTGCGGCTATGAGCTGCGAAGAGAGCGTATACAAAAATCGTATCGCCTGGAATGGCAAGAATCCTTCCATTGTCGTGTCGGCTTCTAGTGGCGCTTGGGGTCCGAAGCAAGTATGTACCCTTAAACAGAGCTTTAACAACACGTACCAGAGATTAGAATTTTCGACCTCCAACAAGCTTCGACCGGGACAAAGCCAGCACAAAAGCGTGTAAATCGTGTGCATACAAATATACAATTGCACAATTTTTGTGTGTTTAATACTCTAAGTGTCTCGGGGAGCTAGAATGTGATTGATTAACACGAAATCGATTGTACAAGAGACTATTCCTACCTGTTTGAACTAAGGAGAGCTGAGACGAGCTCACAACGAAAACAAAGACAAGAAGTGAGTGGTCACGACGTAGCTAAATTAGAACTGAAATTTATTATTTAAAATTATGAACGCTTGCTCTCCTTCATCATGTGCTCATCGTAGCAAAAAAGTCATTCGCAGATCTTTGTCCGCTTTCAGTAACAAAAAAGCCAGTACCATATGACTCGTGCTGCGCAATATTTGCCATAGATACCACCGGCTTCCAACCCTCCTCCCATACAGTTCCACCGCACTATTGGTGTCCGAAGCTTGTACGCATCCCTGCGAGGCGTGGTGCTGCTACGCCTTCGTGTGGAGGTCAGCAATTGTTTTGATTCGTGTTAACAGACTCTGCCTGAATGTGGCTATATTGACTTATCCTACGTCCTGACTTAAGCTTGACATCCACGTTCTTGACCAGTGCGCTTGAAGTTTCAACCTCTACCTGTTTGTTTGCTGCTTGGTTGTCGATCTTAACATCCATTGGAGTCACCACTTGGAGCTGCACCTTCGAGATAAGATCTTGGAGTCAGAGCACCTTTAAATATCGATAGCTACAAACTCGAACTCGGCTTCTGCAGCTGACAATGCTACAGATCCTTGTTGCTTACAGTGCCAACTAACGGCTGCTCCATCAATGAGGATAGTTGCACCGCTCACTGACCGGTGCGCTGTCTTGTCCACCGCAAAGTCGGCATCCGTGTTCGCCGTGGGTATAATGGGTACTTACTCATTGCCCCTGGGGCATGTGCAGCTGCAGCGCTGCTGTACCGGCTAGGTTCCACGCAATTATTTTTGCAATTCTCACGTCTCCTCGCGTAGGCGCGTGTGTCTTCCGCGTAGCTCGATGCACTGTGTAGAATATTTCCGGACGCGTACACCGTGCTGTCCAGAGCAAGCTTTTAAAGAGAGACTGTAGACCCTTGATAGTGGAACAATCTGAAGCACCGTACCCTTTCGATGGTAGCAAAGCGTACCCTCTGAGCACCACTACCATGTTGATTTCTTCGTCGACTAGCAGACGTACAAAATTGGCTTCGCTGAGGCCATCTTAAGCAGGAGTTCTGTAATGATGATCTCTTGGTCCAGACGATAGCCGTCTTCCTCATTGTAGTCGATTCGCATTCCAAGAAGGTGCTGCGCCACCCTAGTTCCTTTGAATCCAAATCTGTATTTTCCTGTAAAACATGTGAAATTTATGTGTACTGGTGGAGACGACTAGTAAATATACACATTCACGTACGTGACAACCAGCGTCATTCCGTTGTAGTCAATCAGGTAATATAGGCACACATCTACAGTACACTGGACGAATTTAGCCCCTACAAGCTTTTCTTGCAATAGCTTTTTTTGCCCACAGACGCCCTGCCTATTGTAGTCTATAGAGGATCTTTACAAGACACAATTTCAGTGTCTTTAAAGCCCTTTATGGCCTTTTTGCTTTCATCTGGAGGAGCTGTGACCATACAAAGTCCATACCCGGTGGGATACGTAGATGAATTCGGTATCCATCGTCACCTTGTGCCTTCACACACGCGCTTGATACGTTAAAGTACCGTGCTAGGTCAAACTAATGCATGGCCAGAACAATTATCATCTTAGCGCTCGTCATAGCTATGACTTCTGCGAAACTCAGCTCGTATTCAACTATAAAAACTTGGTCGTTTCTGTCGGCGACCAAATGCGCTCTGTACTGTGTAATGCAACCACCAATGTCAATCTTCTTTTTGTAAACCCACTGAAAGCGCAGCGTTCATGTGTGAATCTGCTTTAACGAAGATCCACGTCGTTTTCCTCGAGGGAGTAAATCTCTTGTTGGCACGCTAACCCCCAAAGTGCCGCATCAGCGCAATGCAGCAACGCCAAGGGCTAAGCAGATCTCTTACTGGCGCGCTTCCCCAAAACGCCGCATCAGCGCAATGCAACGCCAAGGGATCCAGATCCCGCTAGTGTGAATGCCCTACCAGTCCATCCCCATAGGATGACGTAGCCAGCTCGCGATCTAAACGTTTATTCACTGGGGACTTACAACTGCTCTATTCTCCCGTTGACTCATCTCCATCTGCGTCACGACGCTGCTTAGACTTTCTTGGTACTCGGCGTGAGCGACGAAGAGGAGATACCTCCTTGGTAGCAATTGTGCCTTGGAGCTTAGACTTGTTAAGAGATCTATTTTCGAAGGCAACCGTATCATACGCACTTAACTGTCTACTTTTAAGACCATCCCGAAATCTTCGTGCAACACGGATGCGAGGTCACTGTTTGTACTCAAACGAAACGTTTGAACTTTAGACACGTGACGCGTAGTCACAAACTATGTCCTTCAAAAGATACACACGGATACCTTGGTCTCTTCGTTTGTATAGTAATGACGCCTGGTTTACCACGCGTTTGTAGAGATCCTGTGCGCAGTTGCACGTAGACATTACACGATGAACCAAATGCCACAAGATCAGTAGTGTTAACGGGATTTCCTGTAAGTGCCTGAAGAGGTGACTTGCAATTGCTGTTTGCACGTGTTGTCATACGGTTCAGCACGTATGAGGCGCAGTCTGCTGTGTCTCCCCAGAACTTCAGCGGAAGACCACACCTGAAAAACACGCACTACACCATATTCATGATAGTGCGGTGCATTCTCTCAGATTTTCCGTTCGCAGCTGAGTTGTTAGCCTCGTTCGATTGGCGTGCAATACCAGAGTCACCATGAAGCAAGTCCACCTTCTTTTACTCTCATCCTCCGTCGGTACGAAGGACGTTCACGCGTACGCCAACACATTTTGTAGAGAAGAGGAGAACATGTTGAACTTTTCCTTGTCGCCTCGTCTTTTGTCTTTTCCACGAAGACGTAGCAAAAGTTTTCTTGTGACCGACAATTATTACCATGTAAGGATCCCCTTTCGATCTTATGGCATTATTGGCCCTTTAAGATCATAAAACATGACGCCTTTGACATCGTCTATCGGTTCACTTAATGCGGTGTCGCGTCTCAGTTGGCGAGCCTTCGCGGGTTATTCTTCTGAGCACGAAACGAACGAGGGACGACTACGGTCGGTCAACTCGACGCCTAATCCTGGCGTTGCAGCAAGTCTCTCCACGACTCGTATGATACATAATCAAATCGACGATAGAAATCAAACAAGGTTCTTTATGGTTTTTAGATGAATTTGTGGAATCTCCTCAACTACAGATACTATAAATTTGTTCAAGTCGTATGCTTGGTTTAGTTTGTAGGTTGCCAATCCACGGTCGACGACTAGAAAGCTGTTCTTGATCTTAACAAACAGCACAGATGCTTAGCCAAACAACACTGCATGCCTCCCGTTCACCATCGAAAGCTGGCAACCCTTCTCCTAAAGAACACCTATTGAAGTCAAATTTATTTTGATGTTCGATGCATATCATGCGTCCTACAGCCTTAGTGTATGGCACTTTCCGTCAATATTCACATCCAACAACGTTGTACCATTATGCGTGATCGAAAATTGCACACTATCAGGGAGTCGACATCGCTTGG